TTATAGACACTTGGACTAGGAGTACTTGAAGCGATGCTTCAGGATTTACAAAAAAAATGATAACTTGCACACACACACACGCACGCACGCACACGCACACACACACACACACACACACACACGCACACACGCACACACGCACACACGCACGCAAACAAACAAAGACACACAGAGGGCTATAGGCCAAGGAATTTATGGACACCCCTTGAAAAATTTTAAGTCAGCTTTGGCTGTCACCTTGGTGATTTGCTGTTGATCCCGATTTTTTTCTCCAAATCCCGATTTTTTCTCCCTGGAATCCTGATTTTGAGGTTTCATTGAGTGGCAGGTCTGTATATATATATTTCCCTCTTTCTAAGAACTAGAGTGATAATTGACCAAAGCTCCCACAATGTCATTATCACAGTTGACGACACAATTTAAATCATATAGGAAATAGTCTTCTTCAACCCTGCTTGTGAGGACCTAATCCAGGCTGAGAGGCTTTCAACATCCCAGTTGAACAGACAGAGACACTCAATTTTAACAATCTCCCTCGTGTGAAAATTGAACTTACAACATCTGTTTGTAGAAGTCAAACTCATTATAAAGGTTACACTACACTATATACCATATAAAACTCGCTAAAATTCTCTCTGACAAGCCATAGACACTTTGACTCCTTCATCTTCTGCATGATGAAGCTCACCTGGAATGAGGAGCTTTTTGTGGCCTATACCCCTGCCAGGGGTGAAAGGCATTGATGATAATGATATTTTTTTATCAGTGGAAGAGAGGTCATCAGCATTGCTGTTTTTCTTATGAATTGATGATTACTCTTTCCAGTGTTATTTTGTTACCTATGTAATGTGAGTAATGTGTTGGTGTTGAGATTTTGATAATTTCCGACTGAAGCATTTACTCATCTTCTTCAATGTCCTTACATTTCTCGTCTTAATACAGAAAAAAGAGAAGGTGAACAGACGAGATCTGGCGGAGCACAACTTATTTTTCTGTGACACATGTGACCGCGGCTTCAAAACGGAGGAGAAGTACCAAGAACATGTGGATGGACATCAGCAGGTTTGTGTTTTCGTCTCACAAAGGTGCCGATTTTCCAGATAATCCGGAAGTCCAGATTTCTAAAATTGTCTGAATTTAGTCATATGTTCCTTCTTATACATACATATATATATATATATATATACTTTGTTTGTTTTTTAGTTTATGTCATATTGCACTTTATATATGTAAAGGGGAAAACCAGTGATGTCCTTTTTTTTTAAATTGAGAAAACGAGTTTTTCGTTGCCTTTTTTTTTTGTCTTGACCAAGCCCAATGTTTTACTCATGTGGGAAAATCTGAAAACCACCATAGTCTGTCTCAACGCTCGCAAGAAAAAAGTGTACGCAAGGGGAGAACCAGCGATGTCCAACGAGTTCAATGGGAGAATAAGAGATATCAGTGCAGAATAGAGACTTTTTTTCCCCTATCTACCCTGACAAGCAATCAGCAGTCGTTTTGAGGCTGCTTTGTTTACGCGCATTTCAAAACGGTATAGCAACTGACACCAGAGATAACAGCGAATTCGAATTTTTAAGAAATATATATATTATAGAAAGAAAACTGGAAATGACTGAAGTACAAAGAATATCAGCGCACGTGAACCATTTGCCCTGGAAAGAACTAATTAAATGTTGGGTGACCTTATTTAGGCCACATGTGGCCTAAATAAGCTAAACCCCCCCTCCTTTACCTTATTTAGGCCTAAATAAGCTAAACCCCCCTCCCTTACCTTATTTAGGCCACATATGGCCCAAATAAGCTAAACCCCCCCTCCCTTACCTTATTTAGGCGACATCATATGGTAGATTTCTTGAACTAACCATGGATTCGGAAGGTCGAGATTCTACTGATCTTTTTATTTAATGGGGGGGGGGGGGGGGGGGGGGGGATTATTTCAAAATAGAGGATGATACTAAATGAAAAGTGGACCAAGGGTGAGAGTTGTGTGTCTGTGTGTGTGTGTGCGTGTGTGTGTGTGTTTGTGAGAGTGTGTGTGTGAGTGTGTGTGTATGTGTTTGTTTTGTGTGTGGTTGTGGTGAGAGAGAGATCTAGAGAGAGAGAGAGAGGCAGTAAATGTAACAGTGTGTTTGTATGTGTGTGTGTGTGTGTAATGTGTGAATGTTATTATGTGCATGGGTGTCTATCTCAGTTGTACGGTCCAAATGTACATTATTTTGTTGAGAATTTTACATAGAACTCAACTACAAAACACCTTTATACAAAGTCACAGAAATATTCATTTTGTGCTTATTGAGGTACAGTACAGGGTGATTTTACCTGCAAGGATAATTGGACAAAATGGGCAATATCTTTAACTTGCTAATGGTCATATTTAGACAAATCCCTTATCATTCTCTTTTTTTTTCTTAACTGCTCATGGTTATTAAAGAGTAAGCCAACTAGATCAAAGGTAGTAATTTCGGATTCCTAATATTATGGGCATTCTTTAAAAAATTTTATCTTGTTTTAAGCGCTTTTCTCAATGTAAAATGGATTCCGTTAAAAAACAACAACAATTACCTTATCTTTCTTTTTCAAAGTATTGTGCATACATCTGTGTGAAATTATATATTCTATGCTTTCAAGTACATAAAAAAAACTAATAAAGTCAGAGACATAGATCTAGTAGTAGGCCCACTGGAACATTTTATAAACCGTGAAAAGATTACCAGAAAATAACAAAATTATCTTATGATCTTCACTTGCACTTGCAATTTTTTTGACAAATTATAGTCTACCTCATTATCTTTTTTTTTTCCACATTTTTCTTCACTATTCATGACAGCTGGCATGTATTGTTTTCAGTTATTATCAAGGAAGTGGATAGGCGGACCACGGGGTCTATATAACCAAAAGGATAGGGGGACCCCGGGGTCTACCTAACAAAATGCTAGGTTTTAGAATGTGAACCCCGGAGTCAGCGAAGTGAAATAAGTAGATCTAGGTTTAATTAAGGATTGGTGGACCCCGGGGTCAACGTAGTGAAATCAGTAGATCTACGTTTAATTAAGGATTGGTGGACCCTGGGGTCAACGTAGTGAAATAAGTACATGTAGATCTAGGTTTAATTTTAAGGATTGGTGGACCCAGGAGTGAATGTAGTGAAATAGGTAGGTTTAAGGTGGACCCCAGGGTCTACCTAACGAAATACTAGTTAGGTTTTAGAATAGGTGGACCCTGCGGTCACCGTAGTAAAATAAGTAGGTTTAATCAAGGTGTCCCGGGGATCCACCAATCCTTAATTGAACCTTCTTATTCATCTACGGCTATGGTGACTCCGGGGTCCACAAATCCTTTTAAAATTAAACCTACTTATTTCACTACGGTGACAACGGGGTCCACCAATCTTTAAAGAAACCTACTTATTTCACTACGGTGACCCCGAGGTCCACCTGTCCTAAAACCTAGTATTTTGCTAGGTAGACCCCGGCCCCCGGGGTCCACCTTAAACCTGCTTATTTATCACTACGTTGACCCCGGGTCCAACCAATCCTTACTTAAACTTAAACCAAACCTTATTTCACTACGGTGACTCTGGGGTTCACACCCTAAAACCCAGTATTTCACTATGCAGACCCTGGAGTCCACCTATCCTCTACAGAACTATACTATTATCAGTTTGCAATTTTCATTGATTAGCATATTTAAAAAAAATATATATACTGAATCAGAGACTCGCTGTCTAAAAAGTCCACTGCTAATGCTGTTCTTATCAGAGAAAATGGCACAATTTGATTTTATGACATGTTAGAAAAAAGAGTTTAAAAAATATCCAGAAAATAACATAAAATGATTATATAGATCTATATGTATTTTATTATGTATACTATAAGACTGAGCAGAGGCTTACAATGTAAATTCTGTGCTCTACAAGTAGAGAAAATCTTAAGTTTGCGCAAAACAGATTTTAGAAAAAAAAGTTGGATCTAATTATTCTAATAAATGTAAAAGTGATTGTTATGGTGAGATTTGTTATTATTGACTCTGGAAATACAGTTAGTTGCTGAATCTAAAATTAACTAGAACTGTGCAATTCGTTTTATTTCAATTCCAAAGCCCAAAGGCATAGCAATAAGTTAGATCTAGATCTAGCAGTTGTAGGCTCTCTGGCTGCTTCTAGCATAGAGTTGATAGAGGCCTGCTACTACTGATTCTAGACAGGGAATCTACATCTAGCTATCACCTGCACTATTAAAGTCAAATATATAGTAAAATAAAAACAAAACTGAATGGTTTTGTCAGTCAGTACATCCCAATTGCCATAGCCGCACATATTAATAGTTGAATATGATGCGATACCGAAGCAACACGTTATCACAGTGTGCAGGGGAGAGCAGGGTGCCCGGGTCGCTGACAGGTCGATTCGGTGGTTCGGCTTTTGTAGATCTATGCATTTTTTACGGAAAGCCCTATTACTAGATCTATTAGTGTTGTGAAAACTTCAACCTCTACAGCTCAGGCGTCAAAAGATGTTGGAAAATAATAATACGTCCTGAAGTTTCATAATTTATACAGAATAACACAGCCAGTAGTTTTTATTTCATCGAGTTATAAAAATTGCCTTGTTTTCAGAAGCAAATTTTAATAGTTCTAGTTCTACCGAATCGATTTTCACGCGAATTCAACCATTTTGATGATCTTTCTTTTCCTTTTAAAAAGATGTAGGCCTGTCGGATGTGGCAGTGCGATTAACACTGAGTTGTTTAGACCCATCAAAACACGAGGCTTCGTGGCCGATCACAAAAGTTTACGGGGCTTATCGAGGCCGATTCGCCCTGCCGCATGCACGTTCACTAAACTGCCTACTAGATAGAATCTACTACCAAAGATTCTCTACACGATCATTGCTACTACTACTACTACTACATGTACTACTACGAGAGAGTGCCACTCAGGCAAAGATAGTGTAACTTTGACTCAGCCACGTTGTGTACACACTTTTTGTACCCCAAATTTGACCCGGAAGTCCATTCGGAGAATTTTACCTTTTCACTTGACCAAAGTGTGCCAAAATGGTAGCCTAGCTTTTGCCCCTCCATGAAGGAAAAATCTGGCCCTCATTCAAACCATTGGGATTGAGCAAAATTTTACCTATTGTGCTTTGTTCTTACAATATTCATTATGATTATGATTTATAAGTTGTACATTGAGACAAAACTGTACTAAATGAGAAAGGTGCATTATTATGAAAGTGGAACGAACTCAGTTGCCTGAAAAGGGTAGTTTGAGCATGTGTGGCCTAAACAAGCTAAACCCCCCTCCCTTACTTTATTTAGGCCACAGGTGGCCTAAATAAGCTAAACCTCCCTCCCTTACCGTATTTAAATGTTTTAAGGTGACTACTGATGACGAAAAATATGCTTTATTGTTAAATAGCTCATTTCAAAGCAATAGCAAAGGCCAGCAATACAGCATACTTGCATCTCTGATATCCGTGGACAAGATCAAAAACAGATGTCCTCACCAGACTGAATATTATGAAGCGAATTTCCATCATTATGAGCTGCTGTCACAGTCCCCATCTGCTTCCCCCCACTTCTGCCAGTACCTGGTATGACCAAGGCCGTCAGTTTTTTGTTGGTTTTACAACGTGGAATAACCAGTTAACCGTAGATAAAGATCTTTCAGCATTTCAACGCCCCTCTGTGTTAACATTGTGATGATGAATATGGCATTCATTGTTCCACTGGTCAGCTATTAAACCAAATGGCGTTTCTAAAACCTCGGGTCTTATCTTGCTATTCAGTCCAGTTTCATTGTGTTATTTTTTCTCTTCTTCTTTGCGTTCCCCTGCTTGGTATCAAGGGTAGGGGACTGCTGGTTCTTCCATGTGCAGGGTAACTGATTTTTACATATGCGACCGTTTTCCAACTCAGCAGGGCCCTAGCCTTCAGGCAGTCACATTCCGATTTCGAAGGTACTCTATGGTTTATACTGACTAGAGTGTTTTCAGTTTTGGTAGGAATAAATTTTGAATTTTGTCCGGGTGGCGGCCGAAGTCTACTCTTATCGATTTTAGGACCACTAAGGGATCTTTAATGTGCCCAGCTTGCAAGCGGGACCTCTGAGATTTTTCGCCCCTATCTGGGAATGCTAGGTGTTAGATCTAACCTGCCATAAGATCAGGGGTGGTGCTGAAAGCAGTCATAAGGAGCCAGGTGTGACCATAGAAAGGGCTGTGGTAGCAGGGGAAATAGTTAGGAGTAAGGGAGAGAACAGCCAAGTCAGATTTCGAAGCGGGGACCTATTGAATGAGAGGCGAACACCGTACATGTAGACCAAGAGAGCCACCATTGAGTGACTCATAAGAATAAATGTTCACGGCATTCGTAGTCTGTTGTTCCAGAATTTTTTGGTAACGTGATGAATGTGGAAGTAAAGTCTCTTGGAATGTTCCTGTAATTTAATGTTTTAATTTTATTTTGTTCTCTATTCTTCTCTTCCCTAGTGTTCCTTCAAAGATTGCCCTTTCATCGCGGCTCCAAAGCTTGTTCAGTTGCACGTGGCCATGGTAAGTCAAACGGAACCCAGTTCCACCAGATTTCAAAGATTGTTTTAATATATTTTATGTTTTACCGGTAAGCTGTTGGAATTTAGCATACTACTAGGCTGAGGCGGCAATATTTGTTCAAGAGAGAGAAAACAAAAACTTTCATTCTTTACACAAATGTACCTACGTTATGTATCTTTTCTTGCTTTCTTCAACATTTACAATGTGAATTTCAACAAAATATTTTTTCAGCACCTGCAACTGATGTTTATATAGGCCTGTATGTAATAACTAAAAAATTCCAAATTTTGGGCTTGCTACTCTTGAACAGCTGGTCAACGATTTGGTGGGAATTAAATATACTAACTTGTGGTTGGCAGGTGCTCTCAGTTTGTCTGCCCTCTCTCGTCCTTTTCTTCGGTGTACCATGATCCTTGCAAAATGCTGTTGTCATTGCGTTGAAGAGCCGTAAAATTCAGCTCTCTCTTGTAGGAATTTTTACTGTCTCATTATATTGCTCCACTCCTTGAGGTGTGTTATCAGATCAGATTTACTGTGTGGGCCTTTACAATTGTTTAGACATGAGAATCTGTTATGTTTATGCAATATTGTTCCAATATATATAAGAGAATACAGTGCGGTATGGCCATTCTAACATTTTGGGTGACTGTAGTGTCTTTAGGCCATTCCCAAAGGGGGGACATTTCTCATTCAAGCACAGTAGAATTGTAAATAGGCTGATTCATCATGTCACGTTCATAACTGTGCCTGATCTGCAACAGGGAACTGCTGCATTTTCTTTCCTAATCCTTACTATTATTGTCATTTTCCTCTACTTCTTTTGTATGTTTGTCACACTCTTATAACCTGCTATTTCCGAGGTGCCTTGATAGTCGAATCAGACTTTGTGCTGTTGAAGCTAAAGAGGTGAGCAGAGGGTAAGTCTGATTCCCTGTAAAGACTTCTCTGTTGACACCCACCCCTTGGCGCTCATATGACCTTATGCAGTTGCGAGCGCCGTAAAACCCTCTACTAAAAAAAGAAAAAAACAAAACATGTAGGGGTATTTTCAAATGTGTTTGTCACATCCATAATTCAGGAAATGGATAAAATAAAAAATTGGAGAAATATTGAAAAAAATCAAGGAAAGTGACTGTGGCGCTACTTCTATATACTATAGTCAGAAAATAAACCTCTTTAATGGGTTTACTGTTGTAGATTGGCCACACACAATTGTTTGAGCATTGTCGTGTCTCTTTTTGAACCTGTTCAACCATCCTCTGTTGCATGTGAAGTCAAGAATGAGTTGCTTTTTTTTTACCATGAGAACAGGATCAGAAACAGGTACAGTAGTCTCCGCCTAAACGTAAACCATACGAAAGCACGTTCCACTCAAACGCACGCTTTCATCATCTGACTGGTTTTTTACTACATAATTTAGACGTACATACGCACGGTCACTCCCTCTAAACGCATGCTCCTATACGCAAAACATACCGACAGGTTAAGCTGAACAAAGGGAAATCTGCACAGTTTGCATATATAAGACAAGCCTAGACAGCCTGATATTTGGTGAGACTGCCCCTCACGCCGAACAAAGAGAGTGATGGACAGCATTTTCACACCTAACTTTCCACAGACAGTACATAGGTCTAGGACTGGTCGGTGAAATGTTAGGGGGTTGGGGGACTGAAATGTTATTTGATTGGTCACTGGAAATGTGTCTTTGAGAGAAGGTTTCTGACTGGTGTTTGAGTGACTGCATGTAATGTTTAGTTAGATCTAGGCCTATGATGCGCAACACAAGTGAATGCTCATCCATGAATTTACAGTCGGGGGTTGTCGCTTGGAAAGCCACGTGGCTGGGCCGTCGTCTTATGACTATCACCAACAGTTTCCTCTTACACTATCAGTTCCCGGCATTTTATGGTGCATATCATTACATTGAGTCTGAATTTCTTACCCCGCACACACACACACACTCCCACCCATTCAACGCCTTTGTATTCTTTACTGCAATCCGGGAATCCTTCACAAAACCATCACGTGTCATCACATTATCGACCCAAAGTGACCCCAAAGGGAGGTAACTAGAATATCAAGGCAATGAGATTACTGCGCCCCTTCCTGCCTTTGCAAAGGTTCATATAAACGCACGCTCCGTATTTATAAACACACGCTAAAGAGCCCTCCAGAGCACCGTGCGTTTAGGCGGAGACTACTGTAGAGACATGGCACAAGCTTGCTGGAACCATTGAAACAATGACAGCTCAATGTTCTCAAATTTGGCAACACATGCTCATTTGCTGTTAGGTTGACATCCAATGCTGGCATTTTAAAATTTTGTCTCGATTTTTTTTAAAAAGTGGAAAGCATTGATTTGGGGATACCAATTCTACCAATCTGCGTCTTAGTGTAGGACTTTTTGTCAACCTCTGCTGAAATCTGAAGCCTAGTTTCTACTGTCAGACAATTTAGTTTTATCTTTTCAGCCCTCATGAAAAGCACTTGATATCAATTGGTGTCGAAACAAGAGAAAGGAAGAATGAGTCAGAAAAAGAGAGTGTTGCTGATGAGCCTTATGAGTAGAATAAAAATGTCCTTAGGTTAGATCATATTCATAATCATAATAATGTAACCAACTCTGGTCAAACCATGCCATCCACCCATCTTTTATCATATGTTTAATTTTAATCACTTCCTGGTCCGTCATGTTGAAATAACCACACACGCACATGGGCACACAAACACTGACACAATTCACACACCATATGGCCAATGTGACTTATACAGGGCTGCCTAAATTTACCGATTTTTCCGGTAGATACCAATTTTGGGCCTGTTTTACCGCCATACCAATAAGGTGTCAAAACTACCGGATTTTTGCGATGGATGCCGAAAGAAGAAAAAAATATTTTTTTTATTCTGCAGTGCTTCCAATCTTCTTTGTTTTTGCGTAAATCTGTACATTCCACAAGTTACGTACTTGCCCGCATCATCATATCAACTCCATGCGAGAGAGAGAGAGATCAGCACTTGCCTCCGTAACTTGTCAGATATTTACGCAACTCTCGGCAAAAAGTTGTATTAGAAGCTGTCAGATTACGCATTTCGTACACTCGACCATTGTGTTATGCTGTTCTCGTAAATGGCACGGATGTTATCTAGAAGTTGGCCTCTTACAGTGTAGTTTTCGAGTTCTTTCCACTGCTTGTTTCTGTTCACTCTGTCGAACGCTTTCTCCTATTTTTCGACCAGGAGAAAGCGTCAAAGTGAACAGAAACAAGCTGTGGAAAGAACTCGAAAACTACACTGTAAGAGGCCAACTTCTAGATAACATCCGTGCCATTTACGAGAACAGCATAAGTACAGTAAAAACGTCAGAGGGACTCACAGAATGGTTCGAGATAACATCTGGAGTAAGACAAGGTTGTGTCCTATCACCACTACTATTTATCATATATATGGATAGAATTACAAAAGAGGCCAACACAGAGCCAGACGCCCTAAATGATTACTTTTCGCTGATGACCAAAGCCTAACACACAAAGATGAACGGAGTCTCCAACACCACACCACCAGATTAAACGAAGAATGTAACAACTGCGACATGAAGATCAACATCAACAAAACAGAGACAATGAAAGTAAGCAGAAAGCCAGAACCACTCAGGATACACATCAACAACAACAGTCTCAGACAGGTCCAAGAATTTAAGTACCTCGGAAGTATATTTACAGAGGATGGGCGACTGAACAGAGAAATTGAAACACCAGTACAAAAGGTCAATAATGTTAGCTACCAGCTTACTCCACTACTGAAACATCCTAACATCCCCATGACAACAAAACTCAAAATGATCAACACCATATTCATCCCAACACTCACCTATCAGTGCCAAACATGGACCACGAACAAGACATTAGAGTATTTAGAGCAAAGAATTACATGTGAAATGCGATGCCTTAGAAAAGCAGTAAACAAGACCAGGCGAGACAAAATTAGAAACTGTGTAATCCGTGAAATGGTGGGCACAAATGATGTCATGCATCACATTTAACACCAAAGAATCAAATGGTTTGGACATCTCCTACGATTACCAACACACCATCCAGCGCAACATGCCTACCTCCAAAATTTCGATGGCAACAAGGCTAGAGGGCGACCGAGAAAGACCTGGATAGATGGAGTCAAGGAAACATAATACACCCACGGCATCCCCCTGACCCAAGCTCTCCGGCTGGCGACAGAGAGACGTCTCTTTCTTCCCGCGACACCCAAAAGGGTATAAGCGGCGGATAAAAGTAAAGTAAAGACCATTGTCTATTCTGTGCCGTTCGGTCGGCAATAGTTTTTCACGAGCATATCGGCTAAAATCTGACTACTCACGATAGATAATCTTCCTCCTTCCTTTCATTCATTCTTTCTTTGAAGTTTCGGGTTTTGTGCTGCGGCTTGAAAATCTGTGCGTTTAATTTATTTATCTAGAAAACAGAATTGTGAATGTAAAAAGAAATTCATTGCATCGAAGCAAAATATTCTAAAGTCTGTCTTGTACTAGAGATTTGGTCAGTGCCAAATGAGGATTCTACTCAGGGGGACTGCGGGAATTACCAGGGAATCTGGAGGGAAAAAAAATCGCGGAGACGCGAGAAAATGCACAAAGACCTCGAAACCAAATCTGAAAAGGCTACTGAGTTCATATGTTACCGGTCGCATTTGTGATATTACATTCGGCTTTCCTCAGTCCAAGAGTACGTTTCACGCGAATAAGCGGCAATGGCGGCAGGCGGTAGTGTAGGTGTAATACTGAGACTCCATCAGGGAAATCAAAAGCTACTTTTGCTGTCATTACGGCTCAGAACTGTCCGGTGATAGTTTGTTAACGTTAGATTTACAGTTAATAAAAATTTGTAACATGCAGTTTGTGCATAAAAAACACAGTGTCGCCATATAAATTAAACCGATATTCTCACTGCTGTCATTATAATGACAAAAAGGGGAAGAAAAAGAAAACAAGCGTGGTCCGATTTCTAAGATAGTCGGGCCCGTCTTCGTGACCGGTCATTGAACCTGTGAGAACTTTCGCCTCTTGTGAGTACGGCATGAGTAAGGGACTGGCCACACATATAAATACATGCGAGAGCATGCGCGCGTACACACACACACACACACACACATGTGCATGCACAAACAATTTTTGAAAATATAATAATATAATTACCCAGTATCACGAAAAGCAAGCGCGTTCAATGGGGCAACGATTATCTTTTTTTTTTCCTTCTTTGTCTTTGTACTACCTGATTTTTGGTCAAACTACCTGAAACTGCCCCTGAATCTACCTGAAACTGGAACTTTGAGGAAGGTAGCCCTGCTTATATGACCTAATTGTGCTACAACTGCTTAGAAATTCTTTCTGCTAAAACAACTTAAAACTGTTACACTGTCTCTCCACAGCAACACAGAAGCGGGCTGGCCAAAAAGGTGTACAACCTGGGGTCAGAGGAAGATGTGACGAAATGGAGAGAAGAGAGGAGAAAGTGAGTGATTTCTCGGCCGGGGGGGGAGGGGCCTTTATTATTTGGCCCCCCTCCCCCCAAAAAAAACACCCCCGGTTTTAAGTTCTAGAGTTCGGGGGGGGGGGGGGGGGGGGTTGGTTGAAATTAACTCACTGAGCCCTGGCCTGTTTGAGATGGTGGTGGTCACTCCATACTGGCCAACTGGCCTTTCTCACTTTTTCAAAAAATTATCTGGAATCTAGATTATATATTGTTTTATGATCTTATTGTGTAGCTAGTATGGCAAAATTCTTAACTAAAAAAAAAGTTATCAGACTTTTATAAAATAATTCGGGGGGGTAGTATTTTTTGGAATGATAAGCAAAGGGAAAAAAAGAGAGAGGACTCAAGTAGGTCACCGGGGGATCAAGGACTGGTGATGGGTCTCATTTAAATATTGAGAAATGCCTAAGCGTCTCAAACAGCTTCTCCCAATCCAGCCAACCGTACCTGCCCGTGGTGGTCCCTGTCCTCACTGACACGGCTCTGGCGAATGGCGAGTTGTTGGCGCCAACAAACCAACCTCCCCTCCGTTTCTTAGAGGGGTTAAAACAACAGGATGGGAGCAGGTGTTGCCCCGCAAGGTGAAGGAGGCAGAACCCACTGATGCAATGTAGACGCTATGCTCCTCACTAACACACCCCTACTCTCCCTTGAATGGGTGTCTAATCTGCATAACACCTCTACTACTTTTATCAACACACCCTCTGTGGCTGAGAAGGTACCAGCCAGTTTGAGAGAGTCTGGGTGCAGGGGATGGACCGAGCGGAATGCCTGACTTGCTTTCTGGCCGTGAAACCTCTTAGTAAAGGCACAACGACCCAGGACGTGACGATCAATGGTTTTCCCACTTGGCCGATACCTCATGAAAGAGTAGAAAACTTTAGCCAGTAGCCATTGGTGGCGGGGAATGGACAACGTGAACCCTGCCGGAATTACACGGTCACAGGGCAGTTAGGTCTTTCCAGTCTCATGAAAACTCCTAGTGCCCTCCTGTCCTCAACATGAATGGCCTCTTCTCAGGGTAGGCAGGCAGTCCAGACACCCCAGTCCACAATGCCATGACACAAAGAAATAAATTACATGCGAGCTCGGACGTCGCCTCATTAAACAAGGTCCGCGCCAGGCAGCGCAATCACCACGCTGCTCTGAGCGACAAGTCAGTTACTGGTGATACACATAGAAACAGTGCTAAACCAGCACGGAAAAGCTCTCAGCTTGAGAAGGGAGCCAGTTACACCCCCAACCAGAAGAAGAGTTCCCTCAACCTCTTGCAACTCAACATCTGTGGTTTGAGGAACAAGAAAACTGAACTCCTCAAAGTACTGAAGGACAGGCAGATTCATGTTGCCCTCCTTCAAGAAACCCTACACAAAGGTACGGACCTGAACCTCACAGGATACACCAGTTACACCTGCACATGCACTGGATGCCGCGGTGTAGTCACTTACCTGCGAAACGATGTTCAGGGAGATGTCGTACACTTATCATCTGCCCAACCAACAGATATCCAGAAGGCCACCATATGGCACATTGATAGGAAGTATACACTTTACAATGTTTACAGCCCCCCACAGACAACATGCGACTTGTCTGATCTGCAAGCAGCCTACTACGAAAAAACCATTTGTGCGGGTGACTTCAATGGCCACTCTCCTGAATGGGGCAATGTCAACTATAACAGCACAGGCCGATAGATTGAGGAGCTGTGCGAAACCAGCATCCTATCTGTATTACAAGATGTCAACTCAACTCCTACCTTACTTCACAGAGCCCACTTGACTCTCAGCCGGCCTGATCTCACCATCTGCTCATCCGACATTAAAAACTCCTGTCGCTTCGAAGTGATTGATGACATAGGAAGTGATCACAGACCTATCTTTATACAGATCACCTCCCCACCCGCATTGAACCACCCTTGGAGAACTCGATGGAACTTTAAGAAAGCCAACTGGGCAGAATAGGAAAAGACCTCGGACGAATTGCTCTCCAGCATAGCAGAAACAGAAGATGCTGATCTTTTTAATGAACAAATCACCAAAAATATTCTTAAAGCTGCATCTCAGCTCATTCCACGGGGATGCCGAAGAAATTTCAAACCCATTTGGAGTGAAGAAATGCAGACTGCTGTGGCAGAAAGAGAGAAAGCCAGACGGTCATTGGAAAAATCACCATCACCAATAAACAAAATAAATTACAACAAAACCTGCGCTCAGGTGAAAGGGACAGTAAAAAAAAAGCCAAAAATGAGAAATGGACTCAAACCTGCAGAGATCTTGACCTCCGCCACAATGGAACAAAGGCTTGGTCCCTTGTCAGCAACCTCTTGGGAGAGAGACAAAAAATCTACCCCAAACCCTTTTTCCTTTCAGGCAGCACCATCACTGAAGACCAGAAGAAAGCTGAACATTTTAACCGGTTTTTCGCCTCTGTTAACAGGGCAGGCAGGCTAACCGAGGCTGATAGACTCCTCATAAATAGGGTTAAGCATAAAGAAAAAGCTCCTACTGTGAACAACTCGCTTTTTGAAGAGAATTATAGAATGATGGAACTCAGCTAGGCCCTCAAAAAGCTAAAGGAAAAGAAAGCCCCAGGACCAGATAAAATACACAACGAAATGCTGTGCAACCTTGGTGCTGAAGTAAAAGAAGTTCTTCTTTCCCTGATAAATACCACGTGGAGAACGAGTGGAATACCAAAGGCATGGAGAATCGCCCAGATTATACCGCTCCTGAAAAACGGGAAACCACCTGGAGAAGCGAAAGCTACAGACCTATCTCATTAACATCATGTATCTGTAAGCTTGCGGAAAAAATGATAAACAATCACCTCTACTGGTACCTGCACAGCTTAAACCCACACCAAGCAGGCTTCAGAAAAGGCAGCAACACAGAAGATCAACTTTTTAAACTGAGTCAAAACATCCAGGATGAACTTCAGGATAGTAAACACACTGTCGCCATCTTTGTAGATCTCCAACAGGCATACGACAGAGTGTGGAGAAAAGGCCTACTCATGAAATTGATGGACCTCGGGATACATGACAAACTTTACAAATGGATCAAGTTCTTCCTGTCGGATCGAAACATTGAAACCAAGGTAAACAATGCCCACTCGTCAAGAGAAGTCCTCGAGGAAGACCTACCTCAAGGTTCCTGTCTGAGTTGCACTTTGTTCCTGATCTTCTTTAACGATGTAACGAACGTGCTAAAATCAGAAAAGACTCTTTATGCCGATGATCTTGCTCTCTGGCAGACACATCACAGCATGATAGTAGGAGCAGGGAAATTAAATGAAGACCTCAAGAGGCTCCACAATTATTGTCAGAAATGGGAACTTAAAATAAACTGCACGAAAACAGTATACACCATCTTCACAAAGAGCCATAAAGCAGCCAAAGAAAATCTCAAACTAAAGATAGGAAATGAAAGTCTTTCCAAAGAAGAACATCCAACTTGCCTAGGAGTCAAACTTGACCATAGGCTAACCATGAAAAGCCAAGTGGAGAACATAAGGAACAAGCTTTTAAAGAAACTCGCAAGCAGTTCATGGGGATCAGACAGACAAACTCTGAGAGCTCTATACCTTGATTATGTCCGATCTTCCCTGGAATACAGCAATAGCCTACTCACTATGTGCAGTACAACTACTTGCAACACCCTTGACAAGGTCCAAAACAATGCCCTTCGTTTTATAAATGGTGGCATGAGATCCACACCTACCGCCACGTGCAAAATCCTTGCAAATGTTGAACCCCTGGGAATCCGCAGAGATAAAGCAGTTTTGGAGCTACATGAAAGAACTAAAAGAATGTGCCTCAACCACCCAAACAGGAAATTAGTAGAAACATGGAAACCAAAGAAATGAATTCAAGAAAAGTCAATCATGCATCACATCACAAAACTAATGGAGAGTCACCATCTACCACAAAACAGAAAGGAAACCAAAAAAGTCAACCAAAACATCCCTCCCCACTTTTCTTTTAAAAAAGCCAATCACTACAACATCTCTCAAAGACAAGAGCACAAAATCGTCAGACCCAGTGACGCTGATGCTTGCATCACATCAAACAATCGACAGCTATTCTGATGACTGGATACACGTCTATACGGACGGCTCAGCATTCAAAGGCACAACCAAAGCCGGATATGGAATACTTATACAGTACCCAGATGGAAGTTCCAATGAGATCTCTGCAGCCTGTGGAGAGAAATGCAGCAACTACGATGCAGAAATGATGGCAATTGAAACAGCACTGTACCATCTCCCCAAGTTTTTGACACTCATCCTGGAAAAGCACAGAGTATTGTGATTTTCACTGACTCACTATCAGTATTACAAGCCATAGAAAATGACCATCATCTAAACCAAGATTTGACCCATATACTGTTTGGATCCCATCATCTGATAACATTCTGTGGCATCTATCTAGTAATGCAGTGGGTCCCCGAACACTCAGACATACCTGGAAGTGACAGAGCAGACACACTTGCCAAACGGGGATCTTGACAGGAACTACCCAACATTCCAACTTCATACAACACTGCAAAACAAATCATCAAAAGCAACAACAAACAAGATTGGATGAACAGATGGGCCCTGGGAAAGACAGGCCGAGCAGTTTTCAAACATATGACCACAACAAAAAGGAATGACAATATCAACCACATATGGAGAAACAGACCACGATCTTCCGCCTACGAACAGAACATGTACAGCTCAACTTTCACCTGAACAGAATTAACTCGGAACTTCCCCCAATGTGTCCCTTGTGTGACTATGCATATATATGAGACTGTGGATCATCACCTGTTCCACTGCACAGCCTTAAAAGACATCAGAGCTACCCTTCTCCCTCTGAGACCTAACATTGACAACACACTCTATGGAACATTACAGCAACTGCAGCAAACCTGCACTTATCACACATGGCATTGGACAGAAGGGCGAGAGCCCAGCTGTTGCTGGATCGATAACAACAACAACAACAAGTAGGTCACCGAGGTGAAAGCAGTTTTATGTCTAAACTGCTTCCATTATATCTGAGAAATCTTCTTCATCTCTTGTTAGGAAAATGATCCAACTAAAGCTTCATACAAAAATTATATCACATTATCAGTTCACCATCTTGGAAAAAACGCAAAATCCTTACCCTGTCATTACTGTCAATATGCTGAATCAGTGCTGGGTTGATATCCTATGCATGTTCAGGGGTGGACAGCAATAGAGAAGTCCAATCAGGGAATCAGGCTTACTCTGTTCACCTCTCTAGCCTCAACAGCACAAAGTCTGCTTCGACTGTCAAGGCGCCCCAGAAATAACAGTTCACAGGAGTGTGATAAACATGCAAAAGAAGTAGAGGAAAATAATTATACTTAGGATGAGGAAAGAAAAAGCAGCAGTTCCCCCTATGTTGTTTCGGCACAGAATGAGCATGGCATTGATAAATCAGCCGATTTACAATTCTACTGTGCATAAGAATATGTTAATATCCCCCCTTTGGGAATGTCCTAAAGACAACTTCAGTCAATAGCACTGTCCTGGTTGGGGGTGGGGGGGGGGGGGATTTTATAGTTTATCCTGTTCTTGTTTTTATTCTCTCTTCCATTCCTTTAATTGCAGCAAGAAACATATATATATTTATTTTTTTGCTTCCATTCTTCAGAAATTTCCCGACTGTTGAGAATGTGGAGAAGAAGAAACAGATTCGGGAGGAAAGAATTGCGAGAGGAGAGCTGATTGAGATCAAAGATTTCAGGTATAGCATGTACACTTATTAGTTCAATCACATGCGTTCACAATAGTTTTCACTAGCCTGAGGGTTCAAGGAATGAGCCAGATACACAACACATCTTGGGAAAGTCACTTTACATGAATTTTTCTCGCTTCGCCCAAGTGGGAACGTGTAACCTGGCTATAGACATTGAAAGATCTTGTCAGTTTGTTAGTGTTTGAGTGCTTACTTAATCGCCTGCTGGACTGCTTTCTATGTATGCTTCCTGAGAAGCCAAGAATGTATCTGAGTGTTCTAAGGTGTGGTTGGATAATAATAAAGTCTGTAAAGCTCAGAGAGCTTGCTTTTGAATGGAGATATGAGCAATACAAGTAGTGCTGTTTATTCTTCTTCTTCTTGTGAATCATGAGTGGCGACAGTACCAATGGAAAGTCTTAAATTTGAAAGTACAGTGTAGTGTGCTTTAACCAAACATGGTTAATCTGCAAACAGCGGTGACCTGAGAGAAATTGAAATCCCAATTTATTTATTTCTTTTTGTAATGGAGCAACCTCTTTGAACTAAAAACGACCAAACTTGGTGTCTGTCAAGCACAGGTAATTTGAATTCGTCGGGGATTGGAAATAGTGTTTGAGATTTCTGTAATTCGTCATGTCCATGAAAGCCCCAAATACAAATAAATAAGAGAGAAAAGCAAGGGAAGTAAAAAAAAAAAAAAGACCAACATTAAAACAATTAACATGTTTAGCTCCCTTGATTAACGTGGTGATGGTGTAAAAGCAAGATGAACAAAAGTGGAAAGCAGAAAATCTCACTTGTGTACAGTCGACTCTTGCGTCATTCCTTTCCTCTAATTTCATTGGCTAACAGAAAGTTACACCTCTAACCATCCTCACCGTACGTGTTCCAAAGCATGATTGCACGCATGGTGAGCCAGTCATGCGGTGTGGTCAGCACCACTCCCCAACCCCCCTTCCCCGTCCCCCCTTCCTCCAGCCTCTCGTGGTGAAACAAGGACCACATTTTGGCTGTAACAATATCAAAGAAAAACCTGCTCGCTGCCTGAAAGGCTGTAAAGCCGGGTCTGTAGTCTAGAATGCGAAGTGGGTTTTTTCGAGGTTCAAGTGTTCGGGAACTCCCTAAAGTCAATGTGAAGACAGTATTGAGAGTGAAACGGGACCGAGCATTTTGTTCGAGTTACCAGAAAATTCGTGATTTTCATGTTCGAGATACGTGGACTACTTTATATGTATGCACATGCATTTTTTGTTCCATTGCTTTATTTGACATTCCATCAATGATAGACTTTATTTCTTTCTTTGCAGCAAAATGCGACAAGGGAGAGGTCGAGGACGAGGCAGACAGGATGGTCGGGGTCGAGGTAGGGGGAGGGGAGGACGGGGACGGTGGAGGGATTTCGACCAGTCTGGACAGAACTTGGAATCCAACCAAGTGGACGAAGGTGATGCTCCAGATGAAGTGAAGGTTGTGAGACCACCAACAGACAAGTGTGAAGGTTAGTCACCTGACCTGATGTAAAAATTGCCTTGATAGCCAACATTTTTTTTGTCAGAAAAATATAAATTTCTGTTTGCAAACATTTTGATAATATAGAAAGATATTGATTTATGTCAGCAAATGTTTTTGTTTATGGTGAAAGGTGTGAATCTGTGTTCTTCAAACATTTTTTTAGCAATGCAGAAATGTATAGATCTATATCATTGTAATTTGTTTTACTCACGTTTACGTAAATACTGAGGTCTCAAAGGTAGAGGGGTTTGACTGAGGCCTATGGATTATTTCTACTGTATTGTTAATTTTTTAAAACATGGATTCCACAGACTCGTCAGTAGCGGAGAAAGGAGCTGAGGCAGAGAGCGCTGGTGTGCCGTCGGTAGAGACGATAGTGAGGTCAGTGTTTCCGTCTGGTCATGTCGATGATAAAGCTGCTGCCTCCATTCTCTCACTCCTGGCCGGCTACGGTGACTCAAGCTCAGATACAGAGGACTCTGACATTGAGAGTGACCGCTTGACCAAAGGTATGCAGAAGTCTCAGCATATGGTATCTTTTTTTTTTTAAGGATAAAAATAATGCAAACCTCCACCACACCACCCCCTGCCCACCATGTCGTTGCACATGTAGAAGATCACCGACTTCCGTTTCGTATGCTTGTTGAACAATGATCCCCACAATGACCCCAGAACTGTGCGCTAGGTCATATAGGTTTCAAATGAGGGCAAATCAACTTGACTTTAATCAGTATAGTGTGGTAGGTAGGTGTGTGTCTAGTTCCCATTCAATTGTGGTTGTGTGTGATTTGTGTTAACCATTTAGCTCCTTGGGATTTGTCCTGATGTATGCCCCAAAATGCGGGAAAAGGGAGATAATCCTCTAAAAATATAATGCAAACATACATACATATATATATATATATATATATATATATATATATATATATATATATATATATATATATATATACGTTTTCAAAAAATTAATTTAAAAAATATTTCTTTACGAAATGATCTGGAAAAAACACCACTATATCAGGAAAAGAATACTGCTTCTAACGAGCTAGTTGCAGTACAGTATGGGCGAGTTATTTATTTCTCCCAATATAGTTGTGACTATCAGGTTTTCATTTGTTTCTCTTTTATTTCGTCAAACTAAAAACTGACCAACCCCTCTAGTGACTTAAAAATATGATATTACGATGAACAGAGAAATGGACTTTCAATATGTTTGTGTTTGGTCAAGATCTCTTCACAGGCTTAATTTTATGTATTTTCAAAGTTTCCTTGGATTTGTCTAAGTTTCAACTTGTTCGCACCCTCCATTTCATGTTTACTCTAAGAACTCGCACAGGCAATATTTCTTGGTCAATTTTGACTATTTAAAAACTCAAAGAAAACAGTACATTTCTGCTTTTGCCTTCTAGCCTCTTTTTCAGTCAATTTTAATCGGACATTCTCCCTTGACCTCATCATAGAACTTTTGCATATCCTGGCAGTGTCATGATTTCGGCGATTGAAACGCCGTTCTCGGAGCAAATCGATAGATTCCTCAGAACGCCACTGTGGGAGCTAAATGGTTATTCCTCAGTTATCGCTGTGTCAAACTGGGATGAGAGGGCAGGCAAGCCATTCACATACTGACTGGTGTTTTAATATATTGTCGTCTATACTGCAGATACCTCAGCTTTCCCGAAGAACGCAAACAAACCTGGCGACCCTGTGACACAGACAAGTTCAAGTTCTTCGAAAGATTCGCCCTCGGAATTTTCCACCTCGTCATTCACATCACAGCCTTGTCCCCGGGTAGCAGGAAAAGTTTCAGGATTGTCACAGACAGAAGATGTTGCCCCTCCTTCTGTCAGCTCTCAGCCGCAACCTTCCGCAAAGGACCAGAGTTGTCCCCCTCAGAAGAGAAAGGCCCCTGAGCAGAGCAGTCACAATGCCGAACCGAATGCAAAGAAAGCCAGGGGCACCAGTCGAACGCAACCGCAAAGGAAATACACCCTGTTAGAGAAGGTATGGCGTGTGGGTTTGATTAGAATTCTGATACTATATCTGTCTTTCTATGACCATGTCTCTCTTACTCTATCTCTGACCATGTCTCACTATCATTGACCATGTCTCAATATCAATACTATCATTGACCATGTCTCTCTATCTCTGACCATGTCTCTCTATCATTGATCATGTCTCTCTCTCTCTGACCATGTCTCTTTATCATTGACCATGTCTCTCTATCATTGACCATGTCTCACTATCATTGACCATGTCTCTCAATCTCTGACCATGTCTCTCTATCATTGATCATGTCTCACTATCAATACTATCATTGACAATGTCTCTCTATCTCTGACCATGTCTCTCTATCATTGACCATGTCTCTCTATCATTGACCATGTCTCTCTGTCATTGACCTTGTCTCTCTGTCATTGACCTTGTCTCTCTATTTCTGACCATATCGTTTGCCCACCTTGCCCCATCAGTTTGGAAAACTCTCTTCTTCTCAACCCTTGAGAAAATACATCTAAGTCTAAATTTAAAATATCTTTAACACATTACACCTTAAGGGTCTGGACGAGAAGTCCATTGTTAGATCCTAAGCAAGGGGAAGGAACCCACCTCCCGTGAATACAAGCCTTTAAAAAACACATTTTAAAAATACTAAACAAATTTTAAAAATCCTGAAAAAATAAAAGTTAAAACGAAAAATGAATGCAGTTTCAGAAAAATATAACTTTATGTATGCGCAAACTGTTGGAACTGTTCTAACTTCAGTTCAATCGGGGTGTCCGACCCGTTACTCTCACTCTCAGCTTCGCAGTCGGGCCCTAGATCTAAATTCTAGATTTTCTACGTCTGAACAATCGGAATCGCCCCAAACTCTTGCTACGTTTTCATCAAAATCAGAGTCATCTGGTTTGCCATATATGCTTGTTTTTGCTGAAATCCATCGTTATTTCCTTTTTCGAACTCAATTGTGTCGCTTTTCATCAAGTCGAGACACTTTCGAAGTGTCGGTAACGCGTTCTCACTTCATTCGGCTCTAATACTAAGCCTACTGGCCCGAAAAATTTCATTTCGGTATCAAACGAAAGAAGAAACTTTTTGCAATACCTATGATCAGAGTCTCGTCAAGGTGAGACTTCGTTTCTAAAGACGCTAGGTCGACGCAGGCGGTTCCAGGCGAGTCAGGGTGGAGCGTATAAGGGAATTCCCGGGCGAGTTAGGGTGTAATGTGTTAAAGTTTTAAAAACATTTAACGACATCTTTTTTATGTCAATAGATTCATGTTCAGCACAATGTTATGTAAATGACTATGTATCCATTTATGTGTTTTGTGAATTGCGTTGTATATTATATTATTTGTATGTGCTCATTTCGTAAGGATGTGTAAGCGTGCGCATGTAAGCAAACAGCTGTGTGTGTGTGTACGCGTGCGTTTGGTGTGCATGTAATGAGTGCATGGTGTGTGTATTGTTTGTACAGTAGAAACCTGATATAACTGGGATGGTGGGAGTAGAGAAAACGTCCTGTTATATCCGATCTCTGTTAAATCAGAAAGGCAAGGAAAGTAAGCATTTATTGTGGACTAATCCAGCTGTACTTATTCATGGGTAGTTTCCCTTGCCACAAGTACCCACGAACAGGGGTTTTGGCTCTAACTTTCTCCTTGCCTCCTTAAACCACATCAGAAGAGCTTGGTCCACAGCATCTGCATTGGGTAGTCTTATCTTCTTTCAATCCTGAGCAAACTTTCCTTTGGAGTATGCTGCCGTTATCTTTGCTCTATCCTTGATAATGGTGTGAATCGACCCTTGTGGAATGTCGAACAACGACAAATCTCTTCCAGTGGAGCTTGCTTTTTGTCAATGATCTGGATTATTTCATATATTTTGTCAATTGAAAGGCATTTTCTCTTGCGCTTGACGTGCATTGGTGACACATTACACGTGCGTGTTGCTAGGTTTCGGGCTAGATCGAGGTCTGCTCTGAGGCACACCGCAGCCCTCTCTCCCTTAACATGCTGTGTGTGCTTGCAGTGGCATAGCTTGCATGGGCTTGCTCCATCACTGCGTTACTCTCTCTCTCTCTCTCTCTCTCTCTCTCTCTCTCTCTCTCTCTCTCTCTCTCTCTCTCTCTCTCTCTCTCTCTCTCTCTCTCTCTCTCTCTCTCTCTCTCCACATTGTTAACGAGCCTTTGTCCTTGCTATAAATAACCGGGGTTGGGCTCCGATGAGGCCCTGTTATTGCTGATAACTTGTAACAGAGACAAAGAGTAGGAAAAAATGGGGATTTAAAAAATCCCTGTTATTACCGGATGCCTGTTATTACCGGGCCTGTTATATGGTTTCCACTGTACTTTAATGTAAAGCACCCAGAGCTGTGTTCACACGGGAGTGGACGCTATAGAAATGATCTTCATTATTATAATTTTTATCTCTCTACTCTATCTCTAACTATGTCTCTCTATTTCTGACCATATCTCACCCCCCAGGGCGGTGCCACTGACTGAAGTGTCTTTAGGCCATTCCCAAAGGGGAGCAATTTCTCGTTCAAGCATAGTAGAATTCAATTGGCCTGGTTCATGTCACGCTCATAACTTACTTGGATTTACTTGGATCCATAGCTAGAATCATAGCAGGCGGCACATGTCCGTAGCTGCTCATCTCTCTGTTCCAGCGTCCACATCAGGGTCTTTCTGAAATTGTCTCCATGCCATGAGGAGCTGGTTTGAGACACGCCTGACCACTCCTCGGAGCAAACTTTTTTTCGCTGTGCCTCGCACACACTTTCCTTATATTGTGCTGAGTGTGTGGGAGTCTGTCTCCTCTTGGTTGTGAAGGCTCTCCTTGCATCTGGCGATCACCATTGGTGGGTCGAGCATGATTCGGCCATTGGATGTTGCTTTGCCGGCAAGTTCATCAGCACGCTCATTTCCGTGCACCCCGGCGTGACCAGGGCAGAACACCCATGTAATTCTTAGGAAGTGGCTATTTGCAATGGAAGCTCTCCAGTCACTGTAGACGCTCATAACTGTGCCTGATCTACAACAGGGAAGTGCTGCTTTTTCTTTCCTGATCCTTACTATTGTCATTTTCCTCTACTTCTTTTGTATGTTTGGCACTCTCTTGTGACCTGCTATTTTGGGGTGCCTTGATAGTCGAAGCAGACCTTGTGCTGTTGAAGCTAGAGAGGTGAGCAGTCTAAGTCTGATTCCCTGTAAAGACTTCTCTGTTGACACCCACCCCTTGGCATTCATATGACCTTATGCAGTTGCGAGCGCCGTAAAACCCTCTACTATAAAATAAAAAAAGTGTATGTCTGATTCCGTTTACTTCTCTGTTGACATCCACCCCTTGGCGCTCATATGACCTTATGCAGTTGCGAATGCCGTAAAACCTCTGCTAAAACTAAAAAACTGACCATATATATATATCTCTTTATCTCCCTCCAGCTCCTGGCTCCAGACATCCGCAGGGAAAGAAACAAAATTCTTCAGTGTGTGCACTACATCGTGAAGAACAAATTCTTTGAGGAGAACCACACAACAGAACCCACGCCTCAGGCTGTGTGAGTGTGATAGGTGCACAGGTGGGCTGGATGGACATGGAATTCCAGTAGTGTGATGTTGGGACTTTGTAGCGGGGGTTTGTCTTCAACAACTTGTGATGAAAACTGAACTGTTTTATTTTTGTCGAACGTGACTATACAATAGTCTCTGCCTAAACCCGTGCTCCACTCAAACGCATGCTTTCATCTAAAATTACCTATTTTTTGCGATTAAATAATTTATATCATGTTCAAACACACACTCCGTTCCTCTTGTTTAGTATAGGGTTTTACGGCGCTCGCAACTGCATAGGTCATATGAGCGCGCGGGACACACCTAATACTATTTCGTTGGTAGGAAATTTTGAATTTTGCCCGGGTGGCGGCCGAAGCCTACTCTTATCGATTTTAGACCACCAAGGGATCTTTAACGTGCGCAACTTGCACACGGGCCCTCCGAGATTTTTCGCCCTTGTCCGAGAAGGCTAGGTGTAGATCTTTCCTACCAGAAGATCAGGGGTGTGGCAGAAAGACAGCAGTTAGGAGGAGCCAAGGAGTAGCAGTAGAAAGGCTGCAGAAAGAGTCAGGAGCCCAGAGGAGTGGGGCAAAGGAGGTGAGGGGGTGGGGGCAGAAAGTGGAAATGAAAGCAGACAACAGAACATTGTTAGAGATCAGGAAAGGATGTGAAAGGAGACAATTTTAGAGAAGAAAATTTTTTCGGTCGCTACCCGGAATCGAACCCAGGACCTTTGAATGAGAGGCCAACACCTTAACCTGTAGGCCACGAGAGCCCCCTCTAAACGCACGCTTCAATATGTGGAACACATCAACAGGTAAAGCTTGGCAAAGGGAAATCTTCACGTCATGATAACAAGTCAAGTCTTGACAATCGAATATTTTGCAAGGCTGCTCCTTGTCCAGCACAATGAAAGTGATGGACAGCGTGTTCACACTGTCGGACACACAGAATTGGGCGAGCAATATGTGTAGGGGGTGGGGGGGGAAGACTGAAATATCTTTTGATTGGTAGCTCGAAATGCGTTTTTAAGAGAAAGTTTCTCACTGGTGTTTGGGTTACAGTAATTTTTAGTTAGGTCTATGGTGCGCAACACACATGAATACTCTAGAACACTAGACAAGCCTAGAGGTAGAGGATTAATGATTTAATCAAGTGATCGGCTGTGCTCAAATAACTTATAACTATAACGGACTAGTTCTAAGTTCTAAGAATCACCAGAGAAAAGTCGCTCAGAATTTCTGTCATCTAAATTGCAATAGATGACAGGTAGTCGGGAGTGGTTGCTTAGCTTAGAAACCCATGTGTAGCAGAAGGCTCTTCCATTGGTTGACCATCACTATCACCAACAGTATCCTCTTTTATCTGTTCCCGACGTATCTGTGCACATTAGTACATGGAGTCGGTCTTTCCACCACTCTTTCAATGCCTTGTAGATGTAACCACAGTCAAGGAATTATATATATATATGTAAAGTTTTAATTTTAAACAGTTACACATTTCATCCTTCTTTCAGTGAACTCCCTTCCCTCCTTTAGCTACACCTGTTCATGTAAAAATGTCTCCTTTTTTTAAGAAAAAATTTCAATGCACGCCAAGTAACCCTTCCAGAGCACTGCACATTAAGGTGGAGACTATTGTATTGAAAATGTCTTCCTCATCATGCTCTGTTGAAATCAATTGTGAATATGTTTATTAACACGAGAGATTGAAATAAAAATAAATCAAGACGAAAGTTTTGATTTTTCATCTTGTGACTTTTGGTTGGGTTTTTTTCGTTCTTGCTCTCGTTTGTTGTTTTTTTTCCTGACTAATGGCACCCTTCTTTGTGCACATTGAGACCAGGCTCTATTATATCTGCCTAGAGGATGATTGTGAGGAATGTGAAAGGCATCTCTTCATTTAGTGTAGGAAAAAAACATGTGAACATGTTAACTCAGATGTTGTAGCCTACACATTTGAAATTTCCCCTTTTTGTGTGGTCAAAAATTCATGGCACAACTTATCCTCAAATATCTCTTTAATGGGTAAATCAATGTCACCCAAACTATGCACAGCAGTACAGTGGAACTCGGATTTAACGAGCTCGGATTCAACGAGAGGAGATGGATTCCCTGGTTTTTTTCCTTCTTTATTTAAAATCAATAAAAAATAACCCGGATTCAACGAGAACTTAAATTAGCAAGCTCGGATTCAACGAGGTCGCTTCCAGGGCGAACACCCCCGCAGACGCGGCTTTGCTCATTTTTCTCCCAGAATGAACTTTATCTATTCCCAGAAACCATCCATTACACCTGCATGGTGAACCATTACATATATTGACTTACACAATTGGATGCGACCAATCAGCGGCCTTCTTTCATACCAACACATGCGTTGTTGACACGCGCATGTGTCTACTTTAGCGTGTGTCAGGGTCGGATGGGAGGTCTGCACACGTGTGGCTGTGTGTGCGTGTCGGGGGGGGGGGGGGGGCACTAGCGGTCCGGGCGTTGAACGTCGCAGATTCAAACACGTCAGTCTTTCTTTTCCCCCCAGCAACTGATCATTATAATTACAATGATAAAAAGTCTTGACGTAGATCTACGTATGAATTGTGCACTGGTCTATGGAATCAAAAGTTGCCGTATGCTGCTAGGCTCTACACTGCAACACAACTTTTTGGCAAGCAATCGAGTTGACACAGGCCGGCATTTGAACGACTTGGTCTTTTCTTTTTGCACACCTCATATGCAGGAATTTCAGGCACTACAGTGGAATCCTGTTATAACGAGAGGGAGGGGACCGGAGCAAAACGTCCGTTATAGAAGGACTCTCGCTATAAGGGATCCAGTAATAAATTCAAGGGAAACTGTAAAGTAGGCCTAATCTATGAGTTTGGTGTTTAGCTTATTTCCTTTTGATGTCTCCCCTGATGATGATTTTGTTTCAACATGACCTTTATGTCTTACTTGATCAAAAATCGAATCAGGTTTCTTTCTCTAGCGCTAGATCTAGCGATGTTGACTGAGAGCATGGCGTTGGCGATCAGAAAGAAAGGGCTCTGGGCTAACTCGCCCGCTGTGTTTTCCCCCACCCCACCACACCCTGTGGTGCATTCCGTCAGCTTGCGCACGTCACACATTCGCTCCTACCATCACATTGCTGTGACCTCTCCCTCCCCGCATCGGAGAAGTGAGAGGCATGGTAGGCCCTGATAATCTAAACTAGGCTTACCCTGGCCTATCACGCGATGCGTTCTGCTTGTTTGCGCATGCCACACCCTCCCTACTCAGTCGCTCCGGCCTTCATTGTTGACACACATGGGGTCTCCCATTCTGTTTCGCTAGATCACCAACAAGTTTCTCAACTGGCGAGGTTTTACCTTATATGTATAAAACTGGTCTACGCACTGTGCACAGCAGCAGCAATTATCCGCTATAACCGACTAGCTTGTTTGTCTGATAGCGCTATAGCAGTATTTTATTTACAAAGGTAAAGAAGAGAAAAAACGGGGTTTTAGAATAGTGTCTGTATAAGACTTCTCGTTTTTTCCGGACTCATTTTATAAGTGGACTCCACTGTACTTGCTCAGTGCCTGTAATTATCTACACAAAACTTCAAGTTTGCTATAACGAACACTCGGATTCAACGAGATTTTAGGTCAGGCCCGGCGACCTCGTTGAATCCGAGTTCCACTGTATGGGTTGTTCATTAGTCCTAACTTGATCATGTTTTTTCCAAAACAATTGAGGCCCAGATTTTTAAAGTTTCCTTATTTTTATTAAATATTAGAAATCCCCGTCACGAGTAAAATTTGATTGTTCACAGCACCTCCCTCTTCTCACACACATTTTGTGTACACGGCCTGTGTTGCAGCTCACCAATGACTTTTTGGTGGCAAAACGTTGCCAGAAATCAATTTTGTAGTGAACACATTTTTTGCACTAAAGGTTCTCAAAAACAATCTTTCAATTATCATAATGTCTCTATTAGAAAAACATGACGGATTTGCTTGCGATTATATTGCCCCAGCTGTAAACCATTCAAAATCTGTAGAAACTACCCACTAGGATTTTTTATTAGTTTAAATAAAGAAATTTTCTAGAATACAGCAAGCAAGCAGGTGTTTACAAGAATGTTGATTCGTTAAAACAAATTGATACAAGTCATTGTGCAAAATGTGGAGCACATATTGTGTAATAGATGTTATATAGTTGAGGAAATATTTGACAATAAGTTGTGCCATGAATTTTTTACCTCACTATTGTATTGGAATATGGTCTGGGTTTTTTCTTTTCTTCTTTATTCTAGTGAACTGTTAGAAGTGAGGATATTACAGCTTTTTTTCCTTCTTTTTTGCCTTCCCCTTCTAGACCTCATGGGTATGTTCACTACTGGTTCTTCAACCTGAATGAAATGCATCTAACTTTTACCTATGTGACCGTTTTTCCTACTAAAGTTACATTAGTAAGACCCTAGCCTTCAGTCCTTCAGGCAGCCACATTCCGATTTTAAATGTAGTATATGGTTTGTTTGCTTTTTTATGGGTCTCTCGATATCGAAACAAATAGCTTCATGGACGTCTGTGGTGTAGCCATCAGATTCTTCACTCTTCATCACTGCACTACTTGCACACAAAAGACATGGATTCGGGGGCTCTCGTGGCCCCAAGGTTAAGGTGTTCGCCTCTCATTCAAAAGGTCTTGGGTTCGAATCCAGGTAGGGAGGGAAAAATTTTCCTCTCTAAAATTGTGTCCTTTCACCTCCTTTCCTGCTCTCTTGCAGCAATGTTCTGTCATCTGCTTTTGTCTTCACTTTCTGCCCCCACCCCATCGCCTCCTTTGCCCCCTCCTCTGGGCTCCAGACTCTTTCTGTAGCCTGTCTACTGCTATTCCTTGGCTCCTTACTGCTGTCTTTCAGCCACACCCATGATCTTCTGGGAGGAAAGATCTACACCTAGCCTTCTCGGACAAGGGCGAAAAATCTCAGAGGTCTCGAGTGCAAGTTGCACACATTAAAGATCCCTTGGTGGTCTAAAAATCGACAAAAGCAGGCTTCGGCAAATTTTAAAATTTCCTACCATCTGAAAATGTGCCCCACGCGCTCATATGACCTTAAGCAGTTGCCAGCGCTGTTAAACACTTACAAAAAACCAAAAAAAAGACAGGTGTGGATGTTCTTGGGGTTTTTTTAAAATCAAGTATCTGTGTCTGCCTGGATATTATTGTATCCCAGGTTGGCCCCAACATGCAGGGTTGGCTGAAGATGCCTGCCTCCCAAATTATCTAAATTGTGTCAATGGGGGTGCAAAACACTTATAAATAATAAAATGAATAAGTTGTATATGATTAAAAGATACAGCCCATTTTCAGTTGATGATACAGTTGAGTCCACTTAAACTTCAACTGAAATCTGGGGGACTGCCAGATTCCCTTAAGTTTATTTAAAGCTTTCAGATTAAACATGTTTCAGTTTGGGTTTGTATTTGTTGCAGTGTATACAGTCATCCAACAAAGTAGGTGAATAATAAAGTTTATTGGAACAAACAAGAACTTAAAGAGTGACTGAACAACAAGCACTTTCTCCTTTTTCTCCCCCCCCCCCCCCCCATTCCTCTCTCTCTCTCTCTCTCTCTCTCTCTCTTTCTCGTTCTGTATGTCTCTCTCCCCCCCCCTCCCCCCCACCCTCATGGTCATCTTCTCCTTCTCCACCTATCAAGTCACCCCCTTACATTCCTTTATTCGTCCTACCAAGTGAACACACACTATCAAATTCTTCTGATCGAGTCGGGGCCAGTCAAATTTTCCTTCACAGACTGGGGAAAAAGCTACCATTATATTAGTGCAATGCGACTGACTTTCAAAAACAAATGCTGTCGTTTTTTCCCATGGCAGGAGTTAAGTCAATTGTATGGTGCCAAAATGGTAGCTTTTGCCCTTTCATGAAAGATAATCAGGTTTATACCAACTCTGTTCGATTGAATCCGATTGGCAGTGTGCAATGGGTATTACTAGTGCAGTAGTCTCCGCCTAAGATCCCACCGCCCCAGTTCGCTTTAGATCCCGCTGTTTTAAGAAAACAGAATTTTTACTATACAAAAGTCACCCCTAAGATCCCGCTCTGATTCACTCTGAAGGTCTACATTCGGCTAAGATCACGCATTTCAGATCATAATTTGCGGAACAAAAACCCGAGCAGGACAGCCGATCAACCAAGAGTGAAAAGTTGAGATCAATAAACTGTCCTTCCCATCAAAGATCAGCCACTATCATGAATGTGATCACATAGGCGTTGTAAAACGCGATGAAGCGATACAATGTTTGCGCCAGACGGGATCACACCAGGGTGTGAACTGACCGACACGTTTGTTTTCCCCATGCATCGCACTCACACCTGAGCTCTCCCCCTAAACTTACATCACTCACTCACTGGGTGGGTAGAGCCTACACGTTCCATCCAGGCAGGATCACATCGAACCGTGAACTCTTTCTTGACCATTGAAGCAGTTCGCTCTACTCCCAAATTTGCGACACAGACTGAATTTTAATTGGTGTGTTCACAACGTAATGGGGTGTAACGACAAAGGCAGTTGGGGGAGACACGGTCAGAGATGGAAAGCTATAAATCTTCGACAGGTAAAGGGGAGGGGCAACTGGATTTGTCAAAGATCTTGAGACTCATAATAGGATAATAAGTGAAAATGGCACGCCTCATCCCACTATGCACTGTGATAGGTCATCAACGTTAACCACTCTTAGTCTTAGTCTTAGCTCGCCATATGCCATAAACCCACCAAGGGGTCACGTCAGTTCATTTTAGAGTGGAGCGAGACCATTTTACCGATTGTGAGCCTTAAAATGGGTCACCATAGATTTTGCCCTGGGTTCGCCGGTTAAGATCCCAGTTCGCCTAAGATCCCGCTTTTCCTTGCTTCCGAGCACCGGGATCTTAGGCGGAGACTACTGTATTAGACCTGACAACTACAAACATGACCAAAGAGAGAAACCTGGAGAGTGCAAGGTTCTTGTGCAGAGCAGTACATGAATAATATCATTAACTTAACAGTCAGAGAAGACCACGCATAAAACATGTAATTTGTAAATGCATAAATATTCAAATGCATCCGATAAATGATAACTCTTCCCGAAAAAGAAATAGAAAGTAAAATTCAGTTGAGTATTACCTTGCATCGTACGTATTAACTTCTTCACTAGGACTTTGTAAGCCTGCACAAAATGCCCTCAACTCTTCTTGGACATATTCGGTATCTTTCGGGGAACACATTTGGATAAATTGCCGATATAATATATTGTTGGATAAATTGCCGATATAATATATTGAATATTGTCAATTTGAACAGCGTCTGAAGCTTATTTCATATTTCATTTCCATTCCTCTGCTTTTGTAACATCAGTGAACATCAATTTACCTTAGGATATAACATAACTCAAAAGTTTATACACTAGAGTCTACCTGTAAAAGCCGTCTTATTACCATACTCACAATGATTCGTTACAAAATAATTACGCCCAAATGGTTTCAACCACTGAAAAAAATTACATCCTAAATGAGTGATGAAATCATATCAGAACTGATATATAATATATACAGTCGAACCTGCCTTTACGGAAACCTGTGTAAAACAGAAACCTGTCTTAACTGAATCTCCCCGCTCCCCCCTTGATATAAATTTCTCTTTAATTACCTGTATAAAACGGAAACCTGTCCAATGCGGACGCGGAAAGAAAAATCAGCTCCCTTCCGAGGTTTTCACCTTTTGGGGGTAGATGTTACCCCATCATGTGAGCCCTGAGCAATGCAGATGGTCAGTGTAGTATGGGTGTGAAATCTCACGACTGCCCGTGAGAGTGCTCGACTAGCAAGCCACTACGGAAACTTTCTTGGGTAGCCAGAAGCCAGAGGTGTGAAATTAGATTGACAAATGCCTGCGCCCTGATCGTAGGACAGCCGAGAAAAGAGTTCCTCGAATCGTGACAATGATGGCAGTGAGGAGTGGCATTGGTGGGTGGGACTAAGGGTGGAAGCAAAGGAGATGTTCAATTGTTTCTGTTTATAATAGGTCAAACAGTGGTCCTATGAAAGGCAAGCACTGGTGGTATTTGGATACCTAAGACAGACGCATGTCTTTATCAGACAGGATAGCAGCTGAGAGGGGTGAAGTTTTGACGCCGATCGGACAAGCGATCCTTGATCCCACCAGCTATGCCTTTGAACCCTCCCCCCCAACCTCCACCTCCCCCCTAAGACGGAATTTTTTTCCCTCTCCCTTTCGATTCCGTCTTACACAGGTTCGACTGTATATATACATTTTTTTTTATTTTTTTTTTTTTTAAATGAGTTATTGTCGGCAAGCTATTAAACGGATCTTAGCCCAGGAAGCTAATTGTTTTCAGCAGAGAGAAAAAAAATACTCTTTAACTTTTTAAAACAGTAACTTTTCAGGCTTTTCCTTTTTCAATATTTGGATTTTTTATAAAATGATTCTCAAGCACATGAAACTGAAACCAATACCACAGATTACAAAAAATGCAATACAAAAAATTAAAATTTGAGGCTCAGTTCATCCAAACAGCTGGTCAACAATATGTTGTGGCAATAACAGAACCAGATAGATATGTGATGACAATACCAACAAAACAGAAATGGCATTAAAGAGTCTTAGGTAACAATCAAACCTGCATTTAAAGCCACATCATGAATTTTGAAAAGCTCAACTTGTCGCCAGTCCCACATGGTCCCCACTTCTACCACGGGCGGGGAGATCAACCCCACACATTCTAATTCTAGCCGTGGACCATCATCGTAAGTAGGTCTATAGTATATAGGCTAAGGAAAAATTATCTTTTCTCTTCAAACAAAAACAGGTAACAGTAAAAATAATAGATTGTATCTCTGAATAGAGCATTTATATCTAAAGAGGAAAGTAGGTTCTATGCTCTTTACAATTTATTACCACCAGACCCTATACTGGTATCTGTGGGGTAGCACTTAGGCATTTAGCTTTTGAACGTAGGAGACCCAAGTTCGATTCCCAAGGGCATAATTTTCTTTGAATATCTCAGTCTTTCTGCTGAAATGTTATATCCCATTCAGCTGGGTCAGCCCTGACCAGCAGGTTTGAAGTCCACCTTCTAAATTATCTAAATTTTGTCGATGGGGGCTTAAAAATACCTACATCTTAAAAAAAGACGAATAAAACAAAATTCAAAAGTAATCTCAGCTTCTTGGAAAACACCAGTAGTTTAAGATGCGATTACATAGAAGGCACTAAAAAAACACAAGCATACTGATAGGGGATGGTAGGATCACATAAACACTATCAGTTTTCTTTAAATAAGTTACAGTATAGAACACAAACATTGAGCAAAATTGCTAAAGGATTTTTTTCTCCAAACTTCCAAAATGAAGTCATGAATTCCAGACATGTTTCCAAAACTTTTTCTGTACCAAGGGGATGTAAAGAAAATGTTGCTATGCTCCCCTTGGAAAAGAAAATCACTGTGACCAGAAACAAGCCTCAGAGGGGGAAAAAGAAACAAAATAAAAAGTGAGGTGATTGAAAACGAAGTTACATAAAAATAATACTAAATAGCATTTGCATAGGGCGTATACCGGTGCTCAACAGCAAAGTCTGTGCGCTTTCAGAGTCTCATTCAACGGCAGTGGTGTAGTAGTTAGGTGCTTAACTGCCACATGCAGGAGAACCAAGTTCGATTACCAAGTGGGGAGAAAAATATTATCAAGTATAGAGACCTCAATCTTTCAGCTGGAAGGTTCATGTTCCTCTCAGCCCAGGTTGGCCCAGACAGGCAAGGTCAGATCAGAAACCCGCCTTCAAAATGATCTGAAAAGTATTGATGAAGGCATAAAAAACACTTGCATTTGAAATTTGAAGAGTCACATTTTCAACTTCTTGGGAAGCATACAGTACAACTACAAGTACAAGCAGTCAATTAAGCACTCAAACACTAGAAAACTGACAAGATTATTCGCTGACATAGCTTGGTACCCATTCTCTCCTGGGTGAAGTAAGGACAATTCGTGAAAAGTGTCTTTCTCAATGTCACAACATCGGGCCCCTGATAGAGTTTGTGCTAACAACCTTTCAGTAGTGAGCTCAATAGCCTAGCCACCAGAGCACCCACATTTCTAGAAAATATCTAAGCAACTTTGAAAGAAATCCCAGTAAAAGAAAAATTGCTGAAAAATTATTTGACGTCATTAAGGAATGTACCCAAGCCACTGACAGCGGCTCAACAGCACAGCAGTTCCCATTTTTCAATTCTGTTTTGGTATATGAATTCTATTATCTATTACCGTACAGACAAGAAAACAAACACAACTAAAACTACACTTTTTCTAGAATAGAAGCAACCTAGTATAATCTGCTTATATCGACATGCTTTGGGAAGTGGATTTGATGTCGACGTATAAAAATGTCGATAAATTAAAATACAGTCCATGCCGGCTTTAAGCGCGGTCTTCGGGAGAAAGCTTAAGCATGCTTAATGCCGAAGCGTGCTTGAGTGCGAAGTAGATATAATCCAGAGATTTTCATGTAGAAAATTTCCCGTGCTTCTGTTATTTCCCTTTGTAAGTAGGCCTATAGCGGTCCCGCAAAAGTTTGCACTCTTATTTTTACCCACCACGGTAGTTTTTGTTTGTTTTTGTTTTGAGGTCAAATGGGAAATGAAAACTTAATTTAGAAGGCCAGTCACGATACAGCACACGCGGCCTAAACACTGTCTGTGCGTACCACTGCCCGCTGTGCCACATTCATACCGCTGCCTTCATTCCACCTCGTGCGTGATACACAATCCAGCAACAAACTGAGAATGGGATGGGGAAGGGGAGTGGAGGTAGGGAGGTGATGCCCAGCGCGCAAGATGCTCACGTCTGTGAGGCACTGTACTGTGTTGGAGACTACAATGTGTAGGCCCTACATTACCTACTAAAGCCAGGTGTGTCGAATAGGCTACTTGGCGGGTATGCAGACTTCATGAAGAACTAATGTATTGACCGTTAGCGTGGCCTTTTCCCCCATTTATGTACGTGGGCTTCACCAGGTACCCAGGAAGCATGTCGGTGAAGCAGAGTGGGCCGGAAAAAAAGTCGATATACGAGAAATTGTTTAGTGAAGATATTGAAGGAAAAATTTCGTAATTGGAAAATATGTCGATACATTGGCTGTCCATATAAGTGGATTATACTGTAAGTGTGATCCAGACTCTTCAATGACCCATAAAGGCACACGCTCTTTTGTCACATATAAATCTGCATAGCATAGCTCTCTACTCAATAACTCATCAAGGAATGCTCTATTGCCACACAAAAATCTGTACAGATCTCTAATTACTTTTGCAAAAATCCATTACACTCGCAAAGCCTTTCACTCTATTGCCACATATATAAATCTGTACAGATCTCCAACCATTTTAAGGGGGCTCGATACTTACGTGACAACATTTTTAACTGAAGACAAACTAAAACAACTTTTGTCACAGGCAGTAAGTATGAGACAAGAGATTCATGTTCAACTGTTGACACAGTCGATTACATAAGTCATTGCCATGGAAGCAGCGGCCATCTTGAAAATTGTATAGTCAATTTTTTTTTCTCCACCACTTCTACAGTTTTTAAACTTTTTTTCATTCTGTAATTTGCAAAATGTCACAAATAAATAGGTGCTTGCAGCTGGCTACTTTGATTTTTTATATTATCAAAGGTTGGGATATGGAATTTGATCTATAAAAAATATTTTTGACATGAAAAACAAATTGTACAAAAATATTTTAAAGCAAAATCTAAAAACCTAACCAGCCCACTACAAGTACAAACCATTTCTGTAACTACATGCCAAATTTCAAGTCTCTGTGTTGAAAAATTTTTAAATGGTGGAGAAAAAAACCCCCCGCCATATGCAAGCAAACTGGAGAAAAAGTGTGTTTTGAGAAAAACAAGTTTAAACATCTAAAACGTTCGAACACAACGTAGAACCCAGTAAAATTGAATTCTGTTAATGTTAATCACTCAGCGCGACTAGTCTCCAAAAAATCTAGACTGAACGAGGGATCAGAAAATATCAAAAGTAAAAAGTGCTCAGAGTGAGTGAAAATCAGTCCCCGAGGCCCTAGACCTGACCCGCGAGCCCCCTTAACAAAAATCCCAAACGATCATGGAGATGCACACTCTACTGCTCGACATAAATCAGTGCAAATCTCTTATTATCTACTGGCACTCACAGGGTACTCCTCACCTCATCCGTGTCTCTTCTGCTGGTAGTACTTTTTCAAATCCAGATTTCGGTCATTCTTCTTCAGCTTGATCCGATATTTACCTCTTATTTTCTGAAAAATGAAATATACACGACAAAATAAACAGAGTGACCTCCATTAGATTAAAACCTCACGCAAATTCACAATTACTCCCTTGGCTGGCTTGTTTGCTTTAATTTTCCATCTCAGATCTCTGAGGCATATGTTTTAGTTCTGCAGTACTTGCAACACAAATAGGTCATTGTAAACTATAAGTGCTGAAGACTAAGAAGTGTAACTAGAAAGTAGCATACAAAGAAAGGAAGGAGAGGTGATAAGGATGAAGGATGATAGATTAGGGTTTTTTTTAATTTGGCAGATCTTCTCAAGGTTGTTCACATAATTTCAAGTTTATTGTGGGGTATTTATGAATATCTGTTAACACATTACACCCTAACTCGCCCGGGACTGCCCGCGAATTCCCTTACCCGCTCCACCTTGATTTGCCCGGAACCGCCCGCGACGACCAAGCGTCTTTAGAAACGAAGTCTCACCTTGGCGAGACTCTGGGGCCGAGATTTTGATTTGCATAGTTATTGCAAAAAGTTTCTTCTTTCGTTTGATACCGAAACGAAATTTTTCGGGCCTTTAGTTTTAGTATTAGAGCTAAAAGAAGTGCGATCGCGCTACCGACACTTCGAAAGTGTCTCGACTTGTTGAAAAACGACCCAATTGAGTTTGGAAAAGGAAATAACGATGGGTTTGAGCAAAAACAAACATATGACAAATCAGATGACTCAGATTTTGATGAAAACGTTGTAGCAAGGGTTTGGGGCGATTCAGATTGATCAGACGTAGAAAATCTAGAATTTAGATCAAGGGCCCGACTGCGAGGCTGAGAGTGAGAGTGACGGGTCAGACACCCGGATTGAACTAAAGTTAGAACATTTCCAACAGTTTGCGCATACATTAAGTGATATTTTTCTGAAACTACATTCATTTTTCTTTTTAACATCTATTTTTTCAGGATTTTTGGAATTTGTTTAGTATTTCTAAAATGTGTTTTTCAAAGGCTTGTATTCATGGGAAGTGGGTTCTTTCCCATTGTTTAGGATTTAACAATGGACTTCCCGTCCAGGCCTTTAGGGTGTAATGTGTTAATGTAACATACCAATTTTAAAGTAAATTGGATAACTTTAAGTCTAAGGAAAATATTACGTTTACTACTTTAGCGTCCATTTTCTCAAAATGGTGGTCAGGCAAAATCATTTATTTTTTGGAAACTATAGCAGTTTATGTTTTCATCACACTTGCTCCAAGTGTCCTTCAAACTATGCAAATGAAGAAACAGAACCGATCTAAAAACAGAAAATTTCAATCTTGTGGCTCCCTCCTCCAAAGCCGTGACTTCACAAATGTTGAAAAAAAGGAAGGAAATGTAGAAGAAAAACAATTTTCTCTTCCTGAAAAATTTTGCTTTTTGGGAATAAAACATTTGAACAGCTTTCCGACAACATGGCAAGTCAGAATCACACTGTTTGCACATACATCTTTACTCACCTGTCTTACTCTCTGTGGATCAACTATTGTGATCATGTCATCTTCCTTAATGGGGATGGCTTCAGACCTTTCAAGGATGTGGTCTTCTGTCTCCCTCATCACTAGAAACTGAATGAAGAATTTGCTGGAAAAAAGTTGAGAATATTCAATATTTCAAGAATATTCATGCAGTGAATCTGCTTAAACCGAAATCTGCGGGTGCTCTGGTGTGGATTGCTTCTTCTTTCCTATCTAACATCTATCGTCTTTATCTCCCCTCCTTCTTTTTTGTGTTTGTTACTCTCTTATAACACCTCTCATCTTCAGCACTTATATGACCTTATTGTGTTGCAAGTGCTGTAAAACTAATACTAAAACTAAAAATCGAAATCTGCCGAACTGCTAGATTTTCTTCGATTAAACTGAGTTTTGGGTTTACAGAGATTACTCAAACAGCAAAGAAAAAAAAGGATTCAATTTTCGCTGCCTTCAGATTTACAGTGTTTGGTCTAAGCGAACTCCATAGTACTTACAATGTTCTTAGTGTGTGTCTGGCGAAAGGTCCCTTTTGTCGGAATAGGATATTTAAGTAAGGCTACATTCTTGTAGCAAATACAGTGCTGAACAAGCTGAATTAAAAATTGTTCAATTATTTTGGGAAGATTTAAAGATATATATACTAATTTTGTATTACATGGTGTAAAAATAAAGTTGGAGAAAAACCCAATTTCTAGAACATTTTTAACCTTTGGTGAAGTAAACACATTGCAAAAATAACTAATAAAAATATTGAGACTTAGAATATAAAATCCTTTCAATATGTTATTTTAAAATGGTTAAAGGTGTATTTCCTGATGGAACAAAATTTTTTACCAGGTACAACTTTTTTTACCTTTGCTCCAAAAAGTTTGCAGACAACTGGGACCTTTCTCCATGCACACACACAAATATCAAATTAAAATACCCTAGATATGTTATATATTCCAAAACACTTTATTTCCTGCTCTGTGTTCCGCGTAGAGTAAACACAAACAACTTGAGCTACGGAAAGGAAAAAACAAAAGTGTCACAATCACAAGCATATGTGTCACGACATGGTGGAATCAAGTGCTCGTCAAGTTTTGGGCATATGGGGTTATTGGTATCATCTTAAGGCCTGTTCATTTGCCTTGTTTTTGGTGGAAGATTTTGAATAGATGTCGAGACATTTGCGACTGAAGGAGGGGAGGGTTGCCTGATTTCAGAGGTAAAATTAATGAGAAAATGGCTGCCAAAGTTTAGTAACTTCCATAGCTTGAAAGTCCTTAGAAACTAAAAATTTACATTTTTTGAGCTTTTAATCAATGTTTTCCAGTAAAATCCACAAAGAAATGTGTTTTTAAATAGACATAAAAGGTGTAGAGTCAAAAAAAAAAATAGAAAAAAAGTGCCCAACGGCCAGGAAAATGTCGCTTTCTTCGTTTTCTTCATTTTGATGAGCGCCTGATTTCACCACGATGCCTCACATATGCTCAAGCACATGCTTACGAACATTCAGATATGAACTTGATCATTTGGCAATATATAAACATTTAAAAATTTCTTTTTTTAGTAATTCATTTAGCACAGCGTACCAGCAACGCAATTTTAGTCGTAGTGGGAGATCTTTATCACATCAGAGTCACGGGGGTTAGCTCCCTCTCGCTCCTCTAGCTGGGCTGACTTAATTTTTGGTACCTTCCAACATTAGTTTTAGGTGTATCCTTGTACTTATAGTAATTATCCTTTCATGCACCCATAGAATGAATTTCTGCTCTTGAAACTCAAAAAAGAAAGGACACTGTCACTCGTTTGGTTATTTCGTAAGACACTCCAAAGTCAGCAATGCTAAATTATGATTAGTTTGAACAAGTGAAAATCCTGCATCTTAGTCCACTTTGCAAACAATGCACTAGGAATTATTTTGAGACCCTATATATGCTTTAAGTTTTTTGGTTTTGTAAGTTGACTGGAGAACAAGGTAAATTGTAGTAACTGAGTTTTCAGAATAATTTCTGATTTCTTCATATTCATAAGTGCGCCAGCGCATTTTTGACACGAAAACTATGAATGTCTGTACTGGTTGTTATTTTTTTAAATTTTATATATACAAGAGAAGTATATCTTAGCCCATGTCTTTACAGTTTTGTGTTTTTACATGAATGTATAGTATATATATTACCTTTCTTAGTTGAATGCAGGTTGCCACAAACATGTCTTAATTCACAAAAAAACTCACAAGTGTCTTTCTTTTAATGCGGCTGGGTGTTCCATGGTAAAAGAAGATGTGCATCTAGCTTCTCTTATAACTTGACTATTACTAGCTGCGCAATTTAAGATTTCTCACGGTAAACGAAATGATATTCGTAGTCAATTTAACACAGATTTTGGAGAGTACTATCAAGCCGGTGTTAAATAAACAATTATTTATTCAAACATATAATATATATGTAACAATAATGGTGAGGACAGTAACAGAGACTGGAATGACCAATACAGCATTAACTGATTGTATACCCACCTGCGATCCTCTGTATAGACCTTTTCAACAGTGATAACATCCCCTGGCAGAGCCTTATAGTTGTATAAAACCCTAAAATATTCGTCCTCTGTCTTGCCCTTTGTTGAAACTGGGGAGGAAATAAAACAACATTAGGCAAAATCATGTGAGGAAAAAATATTTGTATATTTACTAAGAGTAGGTACCACAAACGGTGTGCCGATCGCGGCAAGTAGCGTTCTTCCCGAGGAGGAAAACTGTCGTAGTGATCAACTTCACAAACGTAGCTTTTCACTCATGATTGCTTGATTTTAATGAAATAAAAGCCAGTCAGAAGAGCTTGTTTTGTTCTAATGTGTGTGTTGTTCATGGATAGAATGGATGAGTGGAAATATGTTTAATATAGCTCTAAAATTTGGGAAGATGAAGCATTTTGCATCCGACCCGCGCTCGCATCGAAACCTTGCCATAGCCACTCTTTTTCTGTCACAAACTGCTCGGTCGCGATATTGCGTACAGAAATAACTGCTGCACTGTTAGAAAGGTGAAAAGCTGATCTTTACCCCCATACTTAGCAGGCCAGGATTTTCTTGACAAAATGGGTAAAATTTGAAGTGGAAAGACAATGTTGTGAGAAGCTTCGATAAAATCTCAGTATTCTGAACATTTTTTTAGATGTGCTTTACACGTAAAGTTAGTTCACAATATATTTGTTTTATTCAAGCAAGTACTGTTAAACTATTTGTTATCGCGGTACCGCTATTGGACTTCAAACTGTGGATGCGTGTGTTGGGGAAACTCGCTTTCTGTAACAATGGCTGAAGAGGCAGCTGTCGAGGCACTCGACATACCGACCGGCAAGCGGACGGATTACGATGGGAATACGCGTAACAACAACCAATCTGCCAACCAACCGTGTGATTTGTTCAATCTCATTGATAAGTAATTCAACGTTTTAGTTGTTTAAGATAGATCATGCTTCAGGTTTTTCAGAGAAAAAAATTGTATTAGTACTTAAGCTACAGGTCATTTCACGGGAGTCAATACACACTGACGGACAGCCAAATGATCTAGATCTCTATCCATCGGAACAGAAAGTAGTAAAGTTGCTTCCGGTTTCGCACATTTTCAACTTTATCTTTTTTTAAAATTTTATCAATGCAACTACTTTTCATAACAACTTGACCAAAGGTGTTTTTATTCATAAAAATATGAACCATAAATGTATTATGTATGGTTTGGGCCTAGATGTGATCCTTATATCTCGTTCTGTCAAAATTCTTGGGTTTTGTTACAATAATCATGAATAATGACAGTTCTACTTTGTCCTCCCCAACCTAGAAAATATGTTAAAATAAATCTAATACGAAACTTAGATCTAGATCTAGATCTCTAGATTTTTACTTTCACTCTGGCTCTTAGATCTCTATAAATTTTGCAAATTATTGTAGTAAAATTTTTTTAAATCAAGTTAAAGGGGATATTGTATGCAGCACTTCAGGTATGCCTTGAAAGCTTTCTTTTTTTTAATAGATTGTCTTCCAACGGTAACAACTGGAAATACTGAGACTGATCTCTCAACTGCATCTTTCGTTAAATTCAAAAGATAATCAAATAAACCATCAAGATGTATTATTGGGGCAGATAACTAACTCAGACTCACTCAAATTAATTGGTCAGCTGACACAAATTGACATCAGCTGCCTGCTCTAATGTGGACTCTGCATCATCAGTAGCAATCTCCTTACTTGTCCTTAATATCAAAAGTACTTCACAGTTACATGTACTATAATTAATTTCTTATTACACAGAACTTATAATGAGCTTTCCAGTGATATAGTAAATAGTGGTATAGATCTATTCACCTCTCTCTGACTTTTTTGGTTGATTCTGTTTTTGTATCTTTGCAAATTCAGCTGATGTTTAACGGAACGTCATATATGTGTGTATGTGTATTATTTATATATATAAATATTTAGAATTATTACTTTAACTTACTTTTTTTGTAACTGTCATTAAGTACTCAAACTAGCTGCTTCTACTTTTATCACATAAAGCTAGAAATGAGAGCTATCCAGTAGCTTTTCTGTGGTTTCTAATGAAATTTTGAAAAGTCTGATGTTTTGTTGAGCTATGATAATTTTCAGAATTGTTGCCTACCCTTTTGTAACAGCCTTTAGTACCCAGTCATGCCATACAGTTACTACTACTTTTTTCGGATAGAGCTTTGAATGAGTTTTCCAGTGATATATTTGACCTGTCTAGCACAATTAGTTGATTTTTTAATGAATTTTTGAAAAGTCGTATGTTTAGTTGAACACTGAAAATTTTCAAAGTGTTGCCTACTTTTTTGTAACAGCCTTTAGTACCCAGTCTTGATATACAGTTACTACTACCTTTTTCATATAGAGCTTTGAATGAACTTTCCAGTGGTATATTTGACATCTGTCTAGCATAATTAGTTGATTTTTTATGACTTATGAAAAAATGGCCTCAAGCTGCAATTTTGTCATTGGTTTCTTTCCCTTGGGCATTTTTGGACAGCACACCCCTTGGATACGATTATATCTCTCTTGTATTTAAGTTTTAACCCTTTAAAAAATTGAGTAAAGTCTCAGTATGTATACCTTATGAGATTTGCATTTTGATAGCTATCCTGCCTTAAATGTTTATTTTATGTATCTTGGAAAATGGGGGTTCCAAGCCATTGGCATCCATTGTTAAACTTCATTTTTATGTTTTCTTTCAGTTTTGAACTACTATAATTACTACAATAGCTACATGAATTATATTTAATTTCTTTTACAGTAAGTTTGTGTGTTTTTGTCTAAGAATACGTAAAACATTTTTGATTTTCAAGACCGGTTTTCTTGTAGTGTGACCATGAAACAGCGTTATGAGCCAGTTGCGCACATGTCACGATTTTTACAAGTGCAACAAATATTTGAAACATCATATCTCAGGTGTTTGTCAATGGATTTTGATAATTCTTTTTTCATAGTTCTTGTTTCACTGAGCACTATATGGAAAATATAGTCTTGTTATGGTATTCTTTAAAAAACATTTTCACTTGTGGTACCTACTAAGAGGCTTTGTGGGTTTGATCCTTTGCCCTTCAGGCTCTTTGTTGAAAGTTTAGATATTATTTGACCATACATTACTAAACTGCGTCAATGGGGTTGCAAAAACACCTTTAAAAAAACCACAAAAAAACAACCAACCATAACAAATAGTCCTCTATTTTCACGTTCCAATGTCAAATGTCACAACCTCAGAACAACACTTTCAATGATTCTTGATTTCAGCTGTAGTTTTAGCATCGATTTATTTCACTGAGGCCTTTATCATGCCCATGTAGGATCCTCACTGGTAAATTCTAGATGGTTTTGAAAAAAGTTTCTTTGTGACAGCGATTCCTTTCTAAAACCATAATTCAATTTCCTTGACCAACACACATATTTGTGTGCATGCCTGGTGAAAGGTACCATACGATGAATGTTGAAGAATTTTATTTTATTGCATTTTAGAGTGCAAAGATCATTTCTGAACATCTTGCTTTCTAGAGTTTTATAATAGCTTCAGTACTTTGTCAGATTTGGTTAATACTATCAGGTAGGGTGCAGAAACACGGTTTTGAGAAAAATGGCTTCAAAGTTTCCCTTGTTAAACCTGGACCAAGATATGCTCCTGATGAATATTGATTCATCGGCCAGCCGCGTTGTGTGTCTCTGAAAACTTTGATAGCATTGTTACTACCCAAAGTACAACTTTAAAAAAGCAATTTAAGACAAACAGATTCAAGTGCCAGTAAAACATTTGTTAAACATTCATGGTCAATTGGAACAAAGTTTGGGAAGGTATGTGTATGTCGGAAGTCTACCTTCCTTTACTATGTCAGGAAATTCATGCACACAAAAAAACACTTGAAAGGATATAGGCTGACCTAAATTTTGATTTGCAATGTTAGGCAGTTGATTTTTATGAATGTGTGGTAGAAATCTTCATAACTGATGCTAAAAAATTCTAAGAATGGCTTTGCTTTGCTCATAAAGTGGAACAGGGTACAAGTACCCAAAACCTGCTATCTCTTACTGTTTTGTTCCACTCATGCGCACTTCAAGGATTGAATAAGGTTACAAGGTGACCCAAATTTGGATATGCAGTGTGATGGGTTATTTCATGAAAGAGCCAAATGAAAGAAGGGAGGAAATAGGCACAAAATTTCGCTATCGTGATTAGCCAGATGTGTGTGTGTGTGCGCGCGTGTGTGTGTGTGTGTGTGTGTGTGTGTGTGTGTGTGTGTGTGTGTGTGTGTGTGTGTGTGTGTGTATGTGTGTGTGAGGGGAGAGGGGGAGAGTGTGTTATACTTTAGTTTTACACATCATAAATTTGGCTTTATCTATCTGTGGCATCAGCCTTTCAAACGAAACTCACAACTCGCTGGTCCATAAGCACGCTCGGGGGGTTGTGTAGACACTGGACTGGCCGACGCTCCATCGCCAGCCGCTGGGGTAGTGTTGCTCTGTCCTTCTGCAGAACTCACTCCAGCTCCACCCCCAGGTGTCACCACGGCCAGCCCAGCCCCGCTCACAGGGGACGATGTGCTACTGCTAGCTGAGGAAGTGCTTGGCTGACCTACATCTCAATTGAGGAGAAAATAAGTTGGAATACCGTCAATTGATGAGAAAATAGGTTTGACTAACTTCAATAGAGGAAAAAATAAGGAGAAAATAAGTGGGAATAACTTCACTTGAGAAAATAAGCTGGAATACTGCCAATTGAGGAGAAAACAAGTTGGAATAACTTCAATTGAGGAGAAAATAAGTTAGAAAAATGATAGTGTTATAACTGTGAACTGGAATAAAAATTTCACCTCATTTTTTTCTCTTAAAAATTGATCTGCAGGTCCAAAATATAAATAATAATAGAAAGACAATAGATAGATAGCATTTGTATAGCGCAAATCCCCGCTCAACAGCAAGATCTATGCGCTTAACAATCTATACTATTACCTCAGCAGGCCTGAGAACATTCTGAAACAAATTCAACTTCCTGGGAAGCATACAGTGCAAGCAGCTATTTATAGGCGCTAAAACACTAACATACTGACAAGATCTTTCGCTGTCTTTGACCGGGTACCCATTTCCACCTGGGTGAAGTAAGGAAAATTTGTGTAAAGTGCCTTTCCCAAGGACACAACGTCGGGCCCGTGGCTCAAACCCCCAACCCCACGATTATGAGTCCGGTAGCCTAACCACTAGGAAACCGACGCCACTCAGGGGGCGGTAAGCAATGTAAATATTATAAACAGTACACCAGCAAAATGGTGAAAGTTTTGTGTCTTTACTCATCATTTGAATCAAAATGCAGGGCTTAAAATAGACCGCGGCACTGCGGCAATTTGCCTTGGTGCCTTTGCAATTGGCCGTAATGCCCTTAAATCAAAGGGTCAACCGTAGCAATTTTGGCCGTGCCCTTGCCTTGTTTTTTTGTTTTTAAAAAATTAATTAATAAATGATAAAAATATAATAAACGGTGACAATCAAAACGGTGGAAATGATTGAATCAATTCAGTCAGCACAGTAGGCCAACAAAATAATGTGGTCTTCGGGGGGGGAGGGGGCGGAGGAACGGAGTAAGTTCAGTCTCACACCTCGTCTCGTGCCCTCCTCGCCAGCTCTTTGCTTCGACCTTCTGCCGATTGTCCGTACGTTGGCTAGGCCGGTAGTGACCGAAGACTTTCTTGGTCTATCTCTATTTTTAATAACAGTGAAAACAGTTCATAGCAAAGAGTGAGCTTAAGAAGAAGTCACATATATTCAATATTTTTTTTTTATGGAGATAGAACAAGAAAGCACTGAGGTCGCGACATACTGGCTTCTGTACACGTATTCCCACACACACACATACATGGGATGGAAGCGGGCAGACAGAGGGTGCAAAAATGCATTTGTAATGTTTATTAGGCTTATTTGATTTGAATAATATGGTTCTACAATAGTCTTGGAGGGGGGGGAGCTAAAAATTACAAATGTTCGTGTAAAAATACATGTATTTGAGTTAATTTAGAGGGCCCTAAGGAGATGAGAAGCAAATTTTGACCAATCATAATATGACCTATGAATAAAGACCGCGGAACAGAGGATTTCTTGGAAACGGCCAAGAACTGTAACTCTTGAGTCTTACTCAAAGCTTTTCTTGTGCATTTTGTTCACGAAGTTACTGTCATTTTATTAATTTGACCAAGATCTTCACCATGCCAAAGCGAGAACGAAAGTTGAAGGAGTTGAGTGAAAGCTGCAAAAAATGCAAAAAGTTAGATGCATTCTACACTAAATTTTATTGGAAAGATATATGGATACTGTATATTGTACAATCTACTTTTTCATGCTGGTATATATTTAACTGACCATTTCACTAAAGGGCTACCGGAACTAACAGTATGAATGAGGATCGCTTACACAAGAGATCTAGATCTAGTCATTATTGTGCTGCGTTCATAGGAAGATGGTCCTTATTGTAGCAGCGACATCTTGACTGTAGGTAAACAGAAAATGACTGTCGCTTTATTTAAGCAATTTTTTTTCAAATGTGTGTGGGCTGAGGGGAGGGGGCGGGGGGCATTACATGCATGTAGAAAATACATGTACAATTAATTGGGTTGTAGCCCATGTGTGCATGTGTGTGTGTGTGTGTGTGTTTGGGGGAGGACAGAGGGATGAAAGCGTGTGTGTGTGCCTGCAAGAGATATCTGTGAATTTATGATACATTTACACATAGCTTTAGGCTTCAATATGACTCTTGTATAAGTATAATATGAATGCTCATTTCATTCATAAATTTACTTTGACCTCTATACTTTTGTAGAGAGCAAGAATAAATTGTATTGTTATTTAAATAATTGTAGTGATGCACAATCCAGTATTTCCAACTTTAATCAACAAAATGATCACCTATAATTTTTGCCTTGGTGCCCTTGCAAATTGCCTGGGAGCCCTCTGATTTTTAGGCCCCACCGAGGCAATTTTTGCCTGCCCTTTTGAACACATAATTCCAGCCCTGAAAATGGTCTATTTTTTTTAACAAACTAGTTACATGTACATGGCTTTAGCACATCATCATCGATATCTTCTCATTATGGGGGAAAAAACATTGGGCACAGTATTCATACCTGTAATAATACTGTTTTTACATCCCATGTATGAACAAAGATCACGAAACAGATACCCTACATCTACGAAAAGGCAGACAACAGAAACCATGAAATATGAAGCCCACCACTGATATCTATTTTCGTATAGTAAATTTCGAACTATTATACACACACATACACCCACACACGCACACACACCCATACATACACACACACACACATATACACAAACAAACACAAAACCAAAAAAAACACCCCAATAACAACTCACCAGCATTGCTTTCCCCTGTGTTCTCTGACATTCTTCCATTCCTTGTGGGATGGCCTGTCAGCTCTAAGAAAAAAAGAAGGAACTTTTTCAAAAATATAGTCCAGAAATATTGACCCACTTGTTCAGCTTTGTTCATTTCCCTAACTGAAAGCCTGGAAAACATACACATAGGTAAATTCAAAACATAATGCAGAATAATTCCCTCATTCTGCCAATTTCGCCACTTGTGTGCTAAACTGTAATTGAATTGGTCAATGCTGCTTCTTTAGAGTTGCTCAGATTTACTTTTTAAAGTTATGTTTAAGAGTAAAATGGCAAATTGGAACTTCCTATTTTTGCTAGCCAGTGGGGCTGGACAGAGGACAAGACCACACTGCTGATGCTGCTACTAGATGATGAAGGATGAAGTACCACACTGTGCTACACTAGAATCACAAAGTTGTATCAGCTCAGTACCTGGTTTTCATAAATTTGACATTAAAACTTTTCCGTGTGAGTGGTTGGCGGGTGCTCTGGTGTGGTTTGCTTCTTCTTTCCTATCAAACATCTATCATCCTTTTCTCCCCTTTTTCTTTTTTTAATGTTTGTTACTCTCTTGTAACACCTATAATCTTCTGGCGCTCATATGACCTTATGCAGTTGCGAGTGCCGTAAAACCCTCTACTAAAACTTTTTTTAAACTTTACCGTATCGCCAATATGTCAAGCTTTTTCTAATGCAATTCTTTGAGTATCTTGAAAACTACTTTGAATAATCTTATGAATTTGATAGAGCAGATAGAACACTTGGTTTCTGACCTCAAGGTCTTGATAACTCAAAACGGTAAAAAATGTCAAAGAGCTTTGTAATTCTAAGGTGGCAACTGAGGAGGGGGCTATCCTCGGTCAACTGCTCAGTTGCAAAAAGCCCAAAATTTAGAAAATTTAGAATTTGCAATTTCGCAATCTATTTAACACAGTGTTGGTTGTATGTGCTTTTGATATTTTAAAATCGAAACCCAATATATGTTGAAAAAAAAGCAAGAAAGATATATAACACTGAGGTAGAATTTGTAGGAGAATTGAAACAGTTTTTTTCTCTTCTAAAAAATTTTGCTTTTTTGGCTTAGGACATTTGAATAGCTTGTTGGTCAACCAATAGCTACAAACTGTACCTTTTTTCTGTGCCTTTGCCATTTCTATAATTTTGCACCACATACAAAATGGAGATGATGTATTTAAATCGTTTCTATTGAAGGTGAAATAACATGGAAGCACAAGGAATTGTCAAAATATCCATTACATCTTATCAACGCTACAAAATAGATTTACTCCTTCAAATATACAGGTGTCACGACGCGGTGGAATCAGACGCTCGTCATTTTATGCACATGTGGAGTTATTGACGTCATCTTAAAATTTGCTTATTCGTCTAGCTTTTCATGAAAAAATATACATTTATCTTGAATAAAAGTCAAGCTATTGACCATTAACACTTTGCTGCCTTCTCTCGCCGATTGGTGATGTTTACCACTCAGTTTCTTTGGATTTTCCCCAAAATATAATATGGCAAAGTGTTAAAGGAGGTGGGGGTTGCCTGGTTTCAGAGGTAAAATTAGCATGAAAATGGCCTCCAAAGTTAGGTTATTTCCTTTGCTTGAGAGTCCTTGGAAACTAAAAATTTACAATTGTTGTGCCTTTAATCAACCTTTTTCAGTAAAATCCACCCAAAAATGAGTTCTTTAATAGACATGGAGGTGTTGAGGTGAAGAAAAAAAAATTCAATAAAAATTCGCAAACCTGCAAAAAAGTGTCAGTTTCTTCACTTTCATTATTTTGACGCGCGCCTGATTCCACCACACTGCCTCACAAGAGTGAAAAAGGTTTAAAAATCTAGGCTGTTAGACGGGGTGGGCAGGGTCCAGGAGAATCCTCATGTCATACACATTAAATATTGAAATCATTTGACATCTTTTTTTTCACATTATTAGATTTACTTACTTAGACATATATATAATATATATTACTTCTTGAATGCGTGCATATTATTTAACGTTTTCAGTTTGGTAGGAATTCATTTTGAATTTGCCCAGGGGGCAGCCAAAGCCTACTCTTATCCATTTTAGGACTATCAAGGGATCTTTAACGGGCGCAACTAGCACACGGGACGTCCGAAATTTTTCTCCCTTACCCAAGCAAGCTAGGTGTTAGATCTTACATATCTCATAAGATCAGGTGTATGGCTGAAAGACAGCAGTAAGAGTAAGATTAGTAAGAAGGAGCCAAGCAATAGCAGTAAAAAGGCTGCAAAAACAGAAAGAGTCAGGAGCCCAGAGAGAGGGCAAAAGGGAGGGGGACAGAGAGTGGAGATGAAAGCAGACGACATGGCAGCATCCCGTGGTTGAGGTCCGTAATAGTCCGAGAGCCAGATGAAAAAGCTTCTTTTGCGTCATAAAGTTGGTTTTTTTTGGTGACTCTAACTGAGTTTTCATTGCTGATTTCAAATCTAATGGGGGCCAAATGCTAAACCTTGGGCATTTTTGTCTAAAAGTGAAAATCCAGGATGGTCGCCATAGAATTTCGAGTGAAAGATGTTGTGAGGGATATCATGCATTTAAAGACATAAAAATATTCTTTTAAATTAATTAAATAGCATTCAGCGTGACATAAGTAACCACACTTGGTGAAATACACATTAAATATTCGATAAAATTGCAACTTCAAAGAAAACAAGATTGCCCAACAAGTTCTCCGAAGACATGTCCTATCCATGCTTCGACGCTGTGCCAAGTGTTTGATTAAACGGAGTGGCTACATCCACTATTGAAGAATTTTGGCTGTTCAGACTTTTGAAATCCGACCAGTGTGGCTTAAACTCATTTTACATAAACTTCTCGTTGTTGTTGAAATCTGAAATTGTTCACACTTAATCTACAGAGTCGAAACCATCTTTTGTGAAAAAATGAATAAATTCGGTTAAACGTTTCTTCAGCAATCTTTCTTTGAATTTTTGTTCCTTGACTTTTTTGTGCGAGTTTATATATGCAGGCATTTCAAGCACCACTTGTTACTTCCCTTTACACATTACAGTGAAACCTGCCCTGACGGCCACCTGTACAAACGGCCACTTTCCATTTCCCCCCTTGCGTTTTTTCTATAAATATATATAACTTAACTGTGTAAAACGGGCACCTGTCCAACGCTGCCGCGGCCACCTTATTTTTTAACACACAACCCCATCACACAAAGCAATAACACCTGTCTTAGACGGCCACGTTAGTGACTCCATTATGTTTTGTCACACATTGTGCATTGGCCCCTGGCATTGTGGGCAAGCCGTCATAATCCAGTCACCTGTCGTTGTTGTAAAATAATCCCTCCAACCGATCATGTTGTGTAGGCCCCTCCCACTGTTGACCAATAGTAATAGGTACCCGGTAACAAATTTTCAGCCGCTGGTGAGGTAAGCGTGTGATCCCTCATAACCAATAGCCATAAGCCCAGCCCACAACTCATACACAAGTCGTAAGTGAGATGAGTGGTCATTGTTTACCCAGTCAGTAACAAAGAAACAATGGCAGTCAACATGAACTTGTGACAGAAGCGTTGCTCGTTCTCCGAGTGGTGGCAACCCGTGTGTTTGTTTTACCATAGCACTCGGTCCTCCTTGTCTGACACATTTCGTTTTATTGTCACCCTTGCACAAAAGCAGCAACAAAATAAAAAAAGAAGAAAAAAAACAAACAGTGAAAACAACAACAACAATATAACAACATTAACAATTTGTCTATCTTCGGTTGGGGCCTCAAAAAGGAATTGTTTGTTTTCTTCATCTTGATCAGTCCTGCCTAAGACAGCCACCTGACTTTTACGGCCACTTTTCTCCTTGACAATGAGCAGCCGTCTTAGTCTTACACAGGTTCGACTGTACTTGCTCAGTGCCTAAACCTCAAGTTTGCTAGCTAGATCTATGTCCAAGTCTTTAACGAACACTCAGATTCAATGAGACATTTCAGATCGGGCCCGGCGACGTCGTTGAATCTGAGTTTGGCGGGTTCACTGTAATTTTAGATTCTAGACTAGATTATAGATCGACTAGACTCTAGATTTTAGATTTAGATATCTAGATCTAGATCTAGAAAGATCTATATCTAGATTAGATTCTAGATCTAGATCTAGAATCTAGATCTAGAAAATCTAGATCTAGCATGATCTCGGACAATTGTTTACTTTCTCGCGTTTAATTCCAGCCGCGCCTAGATTCTAGATTTAGAAAATCTAGATCTATATCTAAATCTAGATCTAGATCTATATAGATCTAGAATCTAGATCTATATCTTAGTAACATACTGGCTTTAGTCCTTCCGAACTCATTTGATGGCCATTGAGTAGCCTATAAAATTTAGATAATATGAAATAGACTAGATCTATAATCTAGATACAGTAGTCTCCGCCTAAGATCCCACCGCTTACGATCCCGGTTCGCTTAATTAAAAGATCCCACTGTTTTAAGAAAACAGAATTTTTACTATACAAAAGTTAACCCTAAGATCCCGCTCTGATTCACTCTGAAGGTCTACATTCGGCTAAGATCCCGCATTTCAGATTATAATTTGCGGAACAAAAACCCGGGTGGGACAGCCGATCAACCAAGAGTGAAAAGTTGAGATAATAAACTGTCCGTAGCGTCAAAGATCAGCTACTATCGGGAATGTGATCACATACACGTTGTAAAACTCGATGAAGCGATACAATGTTTGCCCCAGACGGGATCACACCGGGGTGTGAACTGACCGACACGTTTGTTTTCCCCGAACATCGCACTCACACCTGAGCTCTCCCCCTAAACTTACATCACTCGCTGAGTGGGTAGGGCCTACACATTCGCTCCAAGCGGGAATCACATCGAACTGTGAACTCTTCCTTGACCATTGCAGAAGTTGTCTCTACTCCCGAATTTGCAAGACACACTGAATTTTAATTGGTGTGTTCACAACGTAATGGTGTGTAACGACAAAGGTAGTGGGGGGGGGGGGGGACTCGGTCAGAGATGGAAGGCTATAACTATAATTTTCGACAAGTAACGGGAAGGGGCAACTGGATAAGCATAGATCTTGAGACATGATAGGATAATAAGTGAAAATGGCACGCCTCATCCCACTATGTACTGTGATAGGTCATCAAGGTTAACCACTCTTTGCTCGCCATACATCAAAAACCAACCAAGCGGTCACATCAATTCATTTTAGAGTGGAGGGAGACCATTATGAGCCTTAGCCTTAGCATGGGTCACCATAGATTCTTCCCTGGGTTCGTCGGTTAAGATCCCGGTTCGCCTAAGATCCCGCATTTCCTTGCTCCCGAGCACCGGGATCTTAGGCGGAGACTACTGTATATCTAGATCTAGATCAATATAGATCTAGATATCTAGAAGAGTACAGAGCGGTCGCTCGTTACGGAATTAAACGCGAGAATCAGAAAGTAAACAGTTGAGTTAGGCTACCTGAACCTGAACTCGAACTCGCAAAAACAATCAACGAATGATCTAGAAGGCTCTTTTATGTCTTATCGCTTTACTTACATAGCATATCTATTACAGACAGCTTAGGCCTTGCCTTTAGACGCCTTTGCCTTGATCTAGGGTTGTCAACTTGTTGGTCATTCTCCGGTGGCTCCGGTCCTTGATCCTTGTTTTTGTCTGCTGCTACTGCTACTGCTGCTACCCAGTAGTGATGGGCAGGTATCGATACTAGGTACTTGATACTTAGATACCTATAGGTATCGGTATCAGTACCGATACCTGCTCTAAACATCGATACCTAAGTGTTATTTAATTTTATCCCTGGGCTGCCAAAGCAAGTGACTTGGGCCTTGAGAATTTTTTGTTTATCAAAACTGATAAGTTTTCGTAGGGGGCAAGCGTTTTAAATGCATCTAGTGATTTTTTAACAAAGAGAGAGAAGTTTTTCATGAAATGTATCTAGTGATTTTGCAAAATCCTCACTGACAACCCTGATTTATCATCATTGGTTTAATTTAAAGTTACTAAAAATCTGGTAAATTGAATTGCCTTTTTAGAACTCTTGTGTTTTTATTTTCAAATACTAACATTTTCTGCAAAGTTGACTTTCTTACCATACTTCACTTAATTTGTGTTTTTATTCTCATATTTGGGTATTTCTTTCTCTCTCTCTCTCTCTCTCTCTCTCTCTCTCTCTCTCTCTCTCTCTCTCTCTCTCTCTCTCTCTCTCTCTCTCTCTCTCTCTCTCTCTTTTACAAATAATTTTTGTTTGAGTCTCAGCTAAATAGTCACAACTTGTCTAGACACGATTACCTAAAAACTTGGAAAAGTATCTAAAGTTGTATTTTTGTCTTTACTTATTACCCCCGGCGTATGTTACCAATAGCATTTGGTATCGAGGTATCGGTATTGATACCTTGAAAAAGTACTAGGTATCGACATCGATACGTAAATTGTGGTATCGGCCCATCACTACTACCAGAGACACTAAAATATATTAAATACTCTCTGCTACTACCCAGCTGCCAGCTGCTACCTTGAGCACAGGGCTGCCAGTTTTGTTTCTGGTGTGGGGCCAACAATATCAAAATTTGGGGCCAAAATTGATTTTTTTGGGACCGAACCATACTTAACCCCCCCCCCCCCCCCCCTCTAAAACTCATCGGATTTCGGCCATTGTATTTACACCCTTCAAGGGGACGACTCGCTGAAGCAAGATCCTAAAATGTTTGCGAACTGTCTTGACGCTAGAATCCTCTACAAGATCCACAATGTAAACACGACTTTCTTGATCAGCCATTATTCCACGAAGCCGCTCTTGTTGTGATTGCCTTCACTGCCAATCCATTTGGGACTAATAAATGCTTTTTTGTGTGTGTGGCAAAAATCTCGTTGCTTTTATTTTATATTTCATTTATTTTCTTTTTTTTTTTTTTTTTTTTTTTGGTGGGAAATTTAAAATGGGCCAAATTGGTGCCAACCGGGCCAACATTTTTGGGGGGCCAGTCATGGTCCCAAAGAGCCAAATTTGAGCAAACTGGCAGCCCTGCTTGGGCAAAAGATGCCAAATTGTGGATCTATGGACTCTCCACTCTCCTTCTCTTCGAGGGACGCGCGCGTTGGCAAGGTGAAGTGCAAAGATGGCCGCCGACTATGGTCAAATCTCCGAGAGAGAGAGAGAGAGAGAGAGAGAGAGAGAGAGAGAGAGAGAGAGAGTCAGAGAGAGTCAGAGAGAGTCAGAAAGAGAGACAGACAGAGAGAGAGAAAGAGAGAGAGTCAGAGAGAGAGAAACAGATCGGCTGTTGGATTGAGATAGAAGGGAAACAACAAAAAATATTTTTTTATTAAGGAAAGTTCATATTTAAGATGTTATAGCTTTAAAATCAAGAAAGATGGGGGAATTAGATAACAAAATTAATTGTCAAACAGACATGAGAAATTATTAGATATAATTCTTTTAAGATACTGAAAAAATTAATTATGACAAGAAATTTTGAGGAAAACAATAATTATTTAAAGTATAGGCCTACTTTAAAGAATTTAAAACAATGACTGCGTGATTCTAGGTTAAAGGCCTAGGCTTTCTCAGTCAGGCCATATATCTCGGACGTTTGGCTCCGGCCTTGAGGGCCGGGGTGGACGACTTTATCTTGATAAGCTCGCCTCGAGACCAGTCCTTATCTTATCTAGGATCAATGTGAAAAGCGGCTATTAAATGTGAAAAGCGGCCATAGGCAGATGCTCTAATACTAATGCGTAGGGCTGTACCCCGGTAGCAAACCCGCTCGTGCTCACAAGCCCCTAGTTCAAGTCACAAGCCTCAAATCAGTAGGTCAAATCACCAAATCAAATCACCAGCATGATAAGTTGAGTCTAGCGCAAACTGTAACCTCCTTGGTCTAGTCTAAACTTCAAGTCCACAGCAACTAGCAATCCGCGAAGCCACTCGTGTCAGGCCCCCTCATCATCCCCACCCTGCTTGCAATCCGCGAAGCCACTTACGTCAGAAAAAGAGAGAGGGGGAGAGTGAGAGATCTCGCCCACAGAGTCACTGCGCGGCGTGGCGCTGTAGTTTACTCGATTAATCGAGGCCTGCGCAAGCCTCAAGTCCCGTCCGCTGCCACAGGCCCCACAATTCACACAGTACTGATTTGCGCTAGGCTTACAGATTTGCCCCAGGACAAGCTCCAAACCTGACCTGCTGACTTGTACTGTCTCGATACACCGAGCGAGCGGCACGGGCTCGATGGCGTAGGACCGTCTTGATGGCGACAAGACAGTCCGATGTGTTCAAACAGCAAGACAGTACTGTGCGCTGTGTGAACTTTGAACCGTGGAGGAAGGGAGAGGCTGGGCTTGTTTTGGTGTAAGGCGTAGAGAGCTGAAGTTATTTTTAACTTCCCGCCGTTGATCAGCTAAGCGAATGGATAAGTGAGAGGGAGCGTGGTATTGTAGTAACAGAGACCTAGGTTTCTGATAATAATAAGAATAAGTAGACTTAGATTACCCTAGAATGGAGAACTCCAGGGGTCGTTGTGATTGGCTTTTGTATCGTATGTATGTAACCTATTTTGTAGATGTGTTACACTCACAGTGACATAATACAGAACATTTAGGAGACGGGCTAGGCCTACTTCAACCCAATGAATGTCAGGGCCAACCTGGGCTGAGAGGGAACAACGCCCCAGCAGAAAGACGGAGGTTCTCAGTAAAATTTCTCCCCATACGGGAATCGAACTGAGGTCTTTTGCGTGCGACGATGAAGCGCTTGGCTCGTGCACATTAAAAATAAACAGGCCTTAACATCATAAGAATAGCCGATCCAATATTAATTTTTAAGTGCATTGAATAGAGCTTTTTGTTTTTTACAACCGAACTATGAAAAAACAACAACCGATCTTGCACTTTTGGTGCAAGCCTCTCAACGCAAATAACCAGAGAATCTATAATATGTACTGAGCCCACTGCCACGAGCGTTCGCGACGTCACGACACAGTACAGCAGGACTGTCCGCGAGTCACAACTCACCGGAAGTTCACTCCGGTAGCAAGCGGGAGGCAAATCAAACCACAAGCCTGCTCGCAAGACTCTAGCGCAAGACTTCCGCTGCCAAACAAGCCTTCGATTAACCGAGCAGAATCCAGCCCTACTAATGCGTATACAGGTGATGGAACATTTTTGCATTACGTTTCTGCGTGCCGATAGTGTAATAGTAATGTATGTAGTGTGTAGCCGTCTAGTCTGTCTAATCTCCTAGCCTCTTCATTGTTTCATTCAGTCCTCTTGGATGCACAAGGGTTTTTTTTCGTTTGGATATATTTTCACTACACTCAATTCTAAGGATTAAATTTGTGCTTATATTATGTGTCTTAGTGTTCAGCCCAGATTCTAGTTTTATTTTTCTTTCATCTTGAATGTTATTGTTACTAGAATCTACTGTTACTGTGAATAAGTTTTCAGTTTCAGCGCAATGAACCGTATGAGCAACATTTGAACATAGGAAGAAAGTGTAGGGGATGGGGTAGTAGAAGTGGTTTTGCCAGCCAAAAGGAAGATGCAAAATAACAATAATATAGATTTCCAAAAGATTCGGAAAAAGACCAGTGGATCAAAAGTGTTCCAAACAAATTAATCATAGATGTCACGGATTATAATATTTATTTTATGGGAGTTTGCTCTCTGCACTTCAAACCTGATGTACCTTTGACACGGGCTGGAAGATTTATGGTGCCCACAGAGTCTCCAACAAAATTTCCAGAAGTACCACCATCATGTTGTGGCACACCAGCTCCAAAAAAGATTTGTTGAAATATGTAGTGTGAGAACGATGTTGCAAGTGATGAACAAAAGTTATCCCACTAGTGTGCCACGGTCTTTTTTGTGGTAAAATGCAAACGTAATTCATTTTCATCTTTACGAATTGATACTCTGTCACTGGTGAGATCTTGTTTTGTTATAAGAGCCTATAAGCTCTCACAAAAAAAGCTGCAACAACAAAAATGCATTGCATTTAAAAGTAAGGTTCGTTGTAGGCCAGTCTTGTGAGTACAGTACGATAATGCTCCACCACCCGCACCAACGCCATAGTCTATCGCCGCTTTTCGCATTGACCCTCCGGGAACGTGGTTGGCCTCCAAGGCCGGGGCCAAACGTCCGAGATATATGGCCTGACTGAGAAGGCCTAGTTAATAAAGGCCTAAATAGTGCTATGATAACTGCTTTATAATGTGGCCTAGTGGTTAGGCTCTCGGACTCGCAACCGTTACGTCGTGGGTTCGAATCCCGCCAGGGGCCCGACGTTGTTTCCTTGGGAAAGGCACTTTGCACAAATTTTTCTCACTTCACCCAGGTGGAAATGGATACCCGGCTATAGACAGTGAACGATCTTGTTAGTTTGATAGTGTTTGAGCGCGTGAAATCCGCAGCTTGCACTGTATGCTTCCGCGGAAGCCGAGAATGTTTCTGAGTGTTCTCAGAGGGTCTGCTGGGGTAATAATAGTTGTAAAGCGCATATAAAGCACGCTCTTGGGCATGGATATGCGCTCTATAAATGCAGTTATTATTATTATTATTATTATTATTATTATTATTATTATTATTATTATTATTAATGTGTAAGAGTGAATGTGAATTTAATGGCCTTGGCGTGAATAAAGCTCCGGACGAAACCACAGTTCGATATTATGTGGCCCCCGTCTGACCCGGCCTGCTTTTTGACCGAATCGTGATGT